ACATAAAACAATTACATGCTTATAAATTAAAAATTATAAATATATTTAAAATATAAAGCCAATTTCCACAATACAAGTAGCTTCGCTGTTGCTACGAGCCGAAGTACTCTTAGTGACTAGACGTTTTGCCTGCTATCGCACCTGACATGTGGTCAGTAGGTGCATCCTCAGGGTGCATCGCTTGTAATGTTGCAAGCGATGCGCCTAGGTAGGTGACTTGCGTAGTCTCTAGCTTGCCTCTAGGAGAGATTCTTTGTTAAATGCAAAATTTTTTAGTATTTTTAAATGTCAATTTGTGTTGTCATAGTACCTACTAAACTATTTGAAAGCTTCTAGATATCCTATTATAATGTTCGACACGGAAGACAACTTACCCCGATTTGTTGATAATGCCATTGCCCATATGCAAAGTAGCTCCACTACATGTCGAGAGTTCAGCTTCCCAAATGTTAGGGCAACGGCTTCCCACGAAACGGTTGGACTGACGAACGGATGATGCGAACAATTCATTGGCTCGGCTATGGGAGCAAGTGTTGACCCGACATCCAGGCTGAGGATGTCTTCCACCATTTGGATAGAAATCAGAATCACCTATGCTATCCATAATACCCAGAATGCGACCGTCTGTGTGAATTGCCTCGACGTAACGTCCGGAATTGCGATTCATAGCGTTACCATTGTTACCCCACGTAGGACCGGCAGGATCCAAACCTGTACACATCAAGATTTGATATTTTAAACATTTTCCACTTAAAAACGAATCAGCTGATAAAATGGGACTGGTGTAGTCATTAGCTCGAGTCAGTCAAAAAGTTATTCTTAAAAATAAAAGACAATCCATATTGCAATTACAATTCTTCACTATAATATTATTTTGCAAGATTAGCTTATTTTACCAATCTGTTGAATAATGAAGCAAATTAATATAAAACCTTGATAAAACACAAAGAAACCCATGTATAGCATAAGTCTAATGCTAAACGACACGGCGACGTCGAATTGATCAAAGATTTGCATGTAAACTCACCACCGGAATAGTTTTCGATTTATTGCAATTAGATGAATACTTGAAAATTGTATAAATTTCTTACCGGTTACTCTAGAAGGTCTCCTGCCAGCTTGGTGCCCGGCACTGCCAACAACGTGAGCACCCAAACTGAAGCCCACCAAGTGGACGTTGTTCCAGTTGCCGCCAGCGGTACTGATCAGCCACACCAAGAAATTGCCTAGGGATTGGCCAATTCCAGGAACTCCGGCAGCGGCAGTGTTATAGTTTGAACTGGCGAGCCTCGACCAATCGACAACAATAACGTTCACATCTTGAACGGCGAGGAATGCGGAAGTAATCTGGGAATTCATCGGGCTATCTCCATTGTTATTCCAACCGTGAACAATGACTACCAAACCTCGCTGTGCGTGGTAGTTGGAATTCCTGACGCTGTTGATATTGTTGTGGGTAAGGATTTGATGACTTGTCGGATTTTGTCTGTAAGTGAAATATTTTAAATGTATCAAAAAACTTAATGGAAAGTGAAAAAATAATACTTATAAACATAAACATTAATGACCTAGTGAAGAGCCGATACTGGTTGTTTGCTCCATTCCTGCCGTGCAGAATAGCCGTGTCCACTGGTTCATGCAAGTCTACCAGATGGGGCACGCCTTCTCCATCTGGCATCCAAACATAGCGACTCTCGCCTTCCACATAGTGACTGTTATCCCCAGGGATAACAGGGATGGCACTGCCACTGCACACTGGTTAAAGGAATTATGGATATACTAATACTCTTAATAATATCATAAATGCAAAAGTACTTCTGTGTGGCTGTTGGTCTATATCTTTTACAATTTTACGCCTAAAGCGCTGAACTAATGAATTCTAAATTGTAATACTAGCTCTTCATGTGATTATTCATATTTGCTTTTTTGTACATTTACCAGTAGTAGTGCCCCAGCATTAGTGATATTAAAAAGTATATCTATATATTATCATGCTGTGAGAATGAGAAGGAGAGATAGCTTTAAAAGTAGCGAAAAGCTAAATACGATTAACCATGTGAAGTTATAATTTTTATTGCGATTGCGAAAGAATGTTTGGTCCTGTGGAATTGTCAAGCAAGAAGCGATCTATAGAATATTTTCTGTGTTTCCCTAAAACAAACGAAATATTATCATTGTATGTGGTCATATTGATCCACTGATAGATTTTCTGATTTAAATCTCCAATGCAAATTCCCTTGAGATCTTGGAATCTAAAATCCAAACACATGAAATTGCGGTTAAAAACCAGTATGTGTTCATACAAACTATGGTTAAAATATATGGTTAATATCTACAGAGGAACAATAAAAGTACCTATACATTCATGTAATTTATAAATAAATAGTTTATACCAATTAAATAGTTACTTTTTCAACTACAAGGATTAGGTGATCAAAATAATGCCTCATCTGAAAATACTATTTTATTGAATTACATTAGTATTATATTTGTTCCTATCTCATGTGTGCAATTGATATATTGACCTAAAGGGTTTCGGGTATGTTACACGAAAATCTATTGGTAGGTACGGAATCTGATATCTAAGTATAATAAATCAAAACGACAATTAAAAACTTGTGAAGAATTGTAAAATTTTATGTCATACTTACCAACCACTAGAGCAGATAATACCAACAGTTTCATTTTCGGAACCTCTACTACTTTAACTTATTTGTTACAGTATTTATACTTTATGTTAATCACTCGATAAAGTGTTTGTTATAATAGTGTATAGTTAATGATTAGAATGTTTATCAAAGCAAATTATCATATTATCTGAAATCGTTTCATTTAATGCAAGTTATTTTTATTCTATTATGTTATCTTTACGATCAATCATCAAGGAGAGGTTGATTTCAGTAATATTTTTCGCTACAGTAACACGTGTAAAGACTTTTCATTTTCAATTGCTCAATTGATTAAATATTATTGAAATTGATATGTGTTTAATTTGTGTGTATTAAGTAGATAATAATCGTGTTTTTTTACATTAAAGAGTGAGATAACAAAAAATATTACTATTTTAAGCCGTTTTCACCTCTAAAATGCATTCCTGCGTTTTTTTCATTTCTTCTTACACAAATCATAGGGTGACATCCTTTTCCACAGATTGCTATTTATTTTCACCCAAAATAATTAGAAAATCATTTACTAGGCTGCCAAACATACTGTTGTAAAAATTTATCTATGATATAATATTATAAAGAGGAAAGATTTGATTGTTTATCTGTTGGACCGATTCGTTTTTTTTATCACATTAAAATCCTTCAATATCCGTTATGAACATAGGCTATATTTACAAAAATTTTAGGGTTCCTTATGAAAACTGCTACCCTTAAATGTAACCCAAGTTGTGTTAAAAATGTTAAAAAATAACATGATGTCGCGTACGCTGCGGAAGTTATTGACAATAGAGCAAAGTGATGTATTAAATTATTATAGAGGACATAAATATCTACAAAAAAATCCGCAATATCATATGTCTAACTATCACAGTTATGTAACCACTAAAGGTAACCTTCGAAAAAAGGTTACAGTGTCAAAGTCAAACTTAAAATATGGGCATATGCTGTCGCGGACTTTTTTTACAGAACTTTGAAAGGAGACAATTCCGTTGTACATGATTTTCGTGTAACTTTAACCGTTTACCCAGCGCACGCAACGGAATCTCACAAATTTTATATTTTTACCCGTTTTTGCCACATTTCTTATCGACGCTCCGCCTGCAAATGTCATAAAGCCTATAGCCTTCCTTGATAAATGCACTATCTAATACAAAAATCGGAACAGCAGAGCAATGGTGCATTCGGTACAACGGGTCCTAAATTACGCAACAATTTTTTTACTTGGAATGGAAGGTATATAATTATTTAAAAAAAAAAACATTGTGTATAATACAAGTCTTTGAACAAAAACTGTAGTCTACTCTACAGCTCTACACGGAAGCGCATCGTGGGTGGGCTACTAGTAATTAAATTTGCTTTTTGCTTCACATTTTCCACATTAACCTTTCCCCCAAAAAGATTTGAAGATTTGTGACTACTAAAGAAATTGACATTGTAATAATTTAATTTATTTATATTTACATAGAAATATTTAAAATTACAAAAACTTAAAACTACCTTCGACGATCACTTCATTATGCTTGTCTTCTATTTGGTATAATAAGCAGCACAAAACCTTCATATCTGTACAAAAATTAAAAATTTCCAAGCATATTCTGAGTCATAATACAGCTGCATTTCATGGGAGTTTTCGCTACTCCTCTACGAGGTGCTGGAACAATATCCCTCCACCCTTTATTTAAATAAATACTGATGTTGCTTAACATATACATGTTTAGAGATGTTTACCCAAGAAACAATAGAGACACAATAATAGATTAGTAGTAAAGGTAGCCCCAAAAACAATGCACTTACACACAACAAAAGCTCTCTGATTATGTGTATCACACTTTTTATAATCTGAAAGTTTTTTTTTAATAAAACTTTGACATAAACTTTATTGTTTTACTTCCAAGTAGCGGTATAAACGGCTGTATCTTTTGATTGCGTTGGATTAGAAGTTTGATTTTTTTTCACAGTTCCAAGGGACAGTAGACCTGAGTATTTGATATTATTAATTTTAGCTTGATACCTCCACGCGTTCCTAATAAAAAGGGTCTTGACAGACAGACGGACAACAAAGTGATTCTATAAGGGTCCCGTTTTTTCCCTTCGAGGTACGGAACCCCTAAAAAAGATTTTGGGTTCATCAATTTGTTCGGAAAAAAACTTTCACAGACGCCCTTCCTTGCATCTTCTTTGATATGTTATTTTTTATAATTTTCATCACTAAACTTGTGCGTGTCCGAAAGTCATATTATTCCGCCATTCTCCACAGAACGACGGCGAAGCCGGCATCTTTCCCTTACTTTGTCTCAGAGCGGACTGAAATAGCATTACAATGTAACATCGCAGGAATGCGCGATGCGAGTCAGATCGAAGCATTCGTGTGAGCTTGCAGATACTTGTGATGCGATGTAAATTCGCGGTTATAAATGGTAGCACTAAGATACGTGGAAGTTTAGTAATTTTTTATGCTAACTAATTTTAGCTAAAAATGGGGCTCTGTTTATTGTGACACCTTTGTATACTATGATTACTAGCAAATAAAGATTTATTATTACTATTATTTCAAAAAATATTGATGGTTTGTGTAAACCATTTCCTATTGACTAATGGATCCGTTTCTAAATTTGTAACTATAGAGTGCGAATAAACGTTATTCAAATGTGCATGTTTCGACAATTATTTAATTTATTCGATTTCTCTGTGTATTTCAACTGTCCCAAATGTGGAAGAATATATTTTGTTTTTATCACATCTGTTCGAAAAGAGCTAGTTTGATCTCTGTTTACAGGAAGCAAAACAGCGTTTTAATCCCTAGGGACTAAAAGTGATTTGAATTAGGATAATGTGGATACTGTTAGTAAAAGCTCCAATCACCAAAGTGATCAATAACGACTATTTTATGCAAGCTCACCAAATATATAAAAAGTTTGTGAAAAAGTACAAACGCGTGAAATAGTAAAACGGAAGAGTGACAAAAACACAATTTAATTCCGCCTTTGTTCGAATTTGGTTTTATAAAAAATGAGTGTCTTCGCCGGGTAATGAGAATGAAAGTAGATATGCTAAAAACGTGATACAATAGTTATTTATGCAACTGTTGTATAATGAGGGCTCAGCTTCGCCTCGTGTGATAAACCCACATTTCTTTCTACACCCTTGATATGAATCCTCTATATTATATATGAGGAGCTCGATGGCGCAAGTGGTTAGCGCGTTCGGCTGCGATCGTTGAATTTAAGCAACTTTCGCAGTGGTCGGTCATTGGAACCCATCCAAACCAAAAATTTACTATCTCAAGCTCCTCTGTGCTTCGGAAGGCACGTTAAGCCATTGGTCCCGGCTGCATCTGCAGTCGTTAGCACCCACCAACCCGCACTGGGCCCGCGTGATGGGTCATGGCCCAATCTCCCTATTCCATCCATAGGGACACTATTTTATTAATTTTGGGCCAAAGTTGGCCTTAAAGAGGGTTACTTTAGCTCGTTGAGTTTTCTCTGTGAAAAAAACTTATTTTAAGGCATGTTGGGGTTAAGTAACCCTTATAACAGATCACCATTAGCATACTGAATACACAAATGGATGTTTTTGCCCAAAAATAATCATATTAAATAAAAAATATAACTTTAAATTTAGAAAAAATAGTAAACTTACCGAAAACCACAGTTTTGAGAAAGTTTGCGCATGAACTTGCGAACTATTTCAGTTACAAAAATCCCGCGTTACAATGACAACTTGGTACAGGAACGATGTCGGTAAAACAACATCACACTACGCACCTATATGGCTATCTGTGATTTTCAACTGGAACTATTACGGTCACCCAAGAGATACTGATGGGGCGGCAAGTTCAAAATTTTTATGATTTGGGACAAAGTTACTCGCCCGAGCTAAAGTAACTCTCACTTACGGTACCTTTATAAAATTATTATGACATGTTTTATCGAGATATGAAATTATTTAATTGATATATATGAAATTACTCTGACATATCCTCTAAATCACTTGATTCTGAACTCTCTGAACTTGATTCAGAATCATCTTGTAAGTTTATAATAATTTCGTCCGTCATACTATCAAATCTCAAATCATGGTTCCAGTATTCTTCTTCATATTTAGTTTGTACGTTGTCATCGCATGTTTGCCATTGTTCGATAGAGGATTCGGAAAATAGCCTTGTTAGTATTGTAATTTTCTTGTGCAATGTAGCATTAGCATGATCTCTGGACAGACAACCTCGATCGGGTTGAGGTCTGGATGATATGGAAGTAGTCTTAGAACAGTATGACCTGCAGCTTTCATAAATTATCAATCACGTATATTTTTTATATTTTTATATACATATAAATTGCAATTAAAAAGTATTTTAATTAAATAGACTGGTGTGCTTGTAATAAAAGAAACAAGCCTGATCATGTATGGAACCAAAAAAGTATAATATGTTTTATGAATTTCTTTACTGATAGTATCAGTATCATGATACCGTACAAATATTTTAAGCTTTGCGGGGGACTCTATCAATTAAATGTAATCTTAATAACGATATGCAAAGTCAATAGCTATTGAATCTGATAGTGATCAGAGCCATATGAAATTGATTTCATTTTTTTTTATAACTTATCTAATAAGAACTGAGCTGAGATAATAAATATTTTATATACTTACTTTATATAACATACGCAGTGTTTTTAAAATTTTTGATAATTTTAATATTTTCCAACAGAGATTAGATATTGACTGCGACATCATCGTTTTAACCGAATGATGGCTTAGTAAAAATAGCCGTTTACCTCTCATACCAGGCTTTAGTATCTATAACAGCAAAGTAAACTATAATCAAAATGATGGTGTTGTAGTTTATGCAAGAAACAATTGAATTCTTTCTATAGAGGAGCCAAATACTATAAGACTGTAACAGATTGCCAATTAAAATCGACTCTGATGTTGCAATACTAGCTCTGTATAGACCACTACCTTCATTTAAAAACATAAACAGTATTATTGAATCTCTTCATGAAACATTAATTAATTTATCTTCCTTCAAAAATATTGTATTAATCGGAGATATAAATATCAATATTGTCCCAGAGTGTAATCAGTTTAGTACTCAGGTTTATTTCAATTTATGTTCGTATCATGGCTTACTTCCCGCGCACATGCTTCCCACTCATCAAAGTGGCTCTTGTTTAGATCACATTATGATAAAATCCAAGTTTCCATCAATGACGTTAGTTACTAACTCCTCAATTACCGATCACAGAGCCGTCCTACTAAACTTAAATCGTAATATTCCGAAACTAAAATGCACGCAAACATTTACTAAAATAAATGCACATAAACTCAGGCAAGAAATAAGTTACATTGACTTTGACCCAGTTTATTGTTGCGATGACGCGGAATCTAGTATGTCTTACTTAGTAAATAATGTACAACAAGCGATATCTAAAAGCACTACAATAATAAAATTATGTAACAAAAATTACAATATTAAGCCCTGGATTACTCCAGGACTAATTCGCTGTATGGACATAGAGACAAATTACATATGAAGGGTAAAGCAAATCCCTGTAATTTAATATTGCAACAGTCTTACAAAAGGTACCGAAACTTTTGTAACGATACCCTTAGAAAATTAAAATTAACTATGATAAGACATAACTGGAAAAAGCGGGTAGCAACAGTAAAAAGGTGTGGAAGTTTATAAAAAATGTTGCTTTTTTGTCAAAACAGCATGAGTCATCTTCAGGTCTATTACAAGGTCATTTGTCACAATTAACATCTGCAAATTGAGAAAATAATTTCTTTGTCAATATTGGCAAAAATCTAGCAGAAAATGTTCATAATCATAAAACTAGGTCATTTTCATCTATTAAGACAGCTTGCACAAATAATATAAATTCATTTGTTCTTTTACAAACTGACGAAGCTGAAGTTGCAAGTATAATAACAGGCCTAAAAGATGAATCTGCAGTTGGATGGGATAATATCTCAAATAAAATACTAAAACAATATAAGCACATCCTCGTTCCACCGCTAACTAACATTTTCCAAAAGTGTTTAAATAAAGGCATCTTCCCTAAATGTTTAAAAAAGCAGATTTTTTAAACATTTATTTAAATCTGGCAGTAGAGATCAGGTAACAAACTATAGATCCATTTTTGTTCTTCCTGCTATATCAAAAAATTTGAAAAAAATTATTAACAATAGACTTGTGAAATATTTGGAAAACAAATGTATATTATCGAAAAATCAGTTTGGTTTTAGGACCAAGTTATCTACTGCCGATGCTGTTCATCAACTTACTGACTATTTAGTACAGGAACTTGATAAGGGCAATAAGACAATAGGTATATTTCTTGACCTAGCAAAAGCATTTGATGCAGTTTCCGAACCCATCTTGTTGCAAAAGCTAGAATCCTTGGGTATAAAAGGCACCCAGCTTAAATTATTTGAGAATTACCTATGCGAACGCACTCAGTGTGTAAAACTAGGTAATGTTATTAGTTCAGATCTAAACAACACCTATTATGGGGTTCCGCAGGGAAGTATATTAGGCCCTACTCTATTTTTGTTGTACATAAATGACCTATGTAATCTGAAACTGGAAAGTGGCAGAATAATTTCTTATGCTAAAGATACTGTCTTATTATTTTCTGCAAATTCTGAGGCAGAAGTTCACAAATGTACACAAAAAGGCTTCACCATTGTTAACAACTGACTGCAGCAGCATCTACTTACACTTAACTCTGACAAAACTAAATATATCAGATTTAGTTTGCGCAAAGCCCTGACTGCACCAATAAGTAAATTGAATGTTCATATTTGTGAGGACCCTACCAATTGCCAGAGTCAGTGTCCAGTTGTCGATAGTAAAAACCAAATTAAATATCTGGGTGTAATCATTTACGAAACTCTCTCATTTAGGCCACATATTAATGCACTGAGCAATAGAGTCCGTAAACTAATATTTGTTTTTAAAAAAACGCGCGTAATTGCAGATTCTAAATTAATAAAACAAGTGTACTCTGCTTTATGTCAGTCTATACTAACTTATTGCATCACATCATGGAGAAGTACATTTAAAACTTTAGTATTAAGTCTTGAAAGAGCCCAGAGAGCCGTTTTGAAGGTTTCTTCTTTCCTTCCATTTCTGTATCCTACTAATCTTCTATATAAGTGTTGTCAAGTACTAACTGTTAGGCAATTGTATATAATGCACATAGTTTTGAAACAACATGCCGCACTACCATTTAATATTGACACTACTAACAAAAGACGGAAAGATATAGTTTGCCGGCAAAGTATTTTTACAAAGCATAGTTTCGCTTCCAGATTTTATTTATTTCTAGGACCATTTTTATACAACGGACTAAATAGTAAACTAAATATATATAGTCTAAATTATAAACATGCCAAACGATTATTCACGATGCCTTATTAAGTATGTCCTACGACGATACAGAGATGTTGATGTCCTTTTCAAAATAAATAGTACCTTATCTTAGAGTACATTTAAGTTATAATGCTGATTTAGTTAATTATTGTTCTGGTTTTATTTTAATAATTATTGTATACACATATATATAGTGGTAGAAGACTTTTGCCTGAAACACAGGTTTACCTAGTACAGGCTATAGTATAAGTTATATATCTTTTGTTATTTCTAGAATTAAGTAATTTATTGTAAACAGAAATCGAATAAACATTTATTATATTATTATTATATATGATAAGACATAAGAAAATCCAAATTTCCGAATTCAATATAAATATTTTTTTAAAAGGACCTTTTTATTTTGTGCAGATTACTGTGTTGTCAATACATAGAAAAGCTTTAACCACAAAGCTCAAACATAGAAAAAATTAAACTATTCAAATTTTACAATAAGCGTTTTTATCGAAAAATCCAATTATAAAAAACAGAAAGTCATCGAATTATTGCACTACTCCCGAGTGGCTCATTAACCTCTCGCGAATGGCGAAACAGCGTTAGTAGCAAAAACGAAAATTCCGGAACCGCTGAAACAAAACAAAAAAACTTTTATAAAAGTGCTTTTAACGACGTGGCTAAAGTGAAAGGATATTCTTTGGAGCCGGGGAACGTCAAGCATCCTAACCTACCAGAATCAAATTGTTCTCAATTCGAAGGAATGTCAAAAGTCGCACAGACGAAGACCAGAAGTAGTAGTAGGAGAGCTACTGAACCCTCCGAGTAACGGTATGTCTGTAAGGGTAGAAATTCTTATGGTGATAAGTCATAGCATGCTTGTACGGTAAGCATCGCCTGGCACGCCTCTGCCCTGCACGTCATCAAGCCCTATATTTTAGAAATAGTCGGCAAAATATTTAAAAAAAACAAGTGTGCTTATGACCACACCATTGAAATGAAACTTCTTTAGCTCCATCTGTGTGTATATATATATATTTATACAATATATACTATACATATTTCATTTACTAGCTTTATGACAAAGAGAGAAATAGAGAAAGAAAATGTGCGTGCGCACTGCTTTCCCTTGCTTAAATCCCCCTCTCAACTCCCGTTCGCCTCGCCCCAACACACTTTTCGTAACGCGTAACGCATTCGCCAGCTTACCATCAAGCCAAGCGAGCGTAAAGAAGTTTCACTTCAAAAACTTGATGTTGTAAGCTTTATACAATTTAGTTAATTCATTTTTAAGTTTAAAAAAATTACAGGTGTGTCTCAATTGCACCACCGAGTTCACGTTATGCCGCTTACTCGCACTACAACAGCATCAATCCCCTCGCCTGACCAGGACTTATGCTGACTTAGCTAGCTAGCTTTGCCTACCCCAGTCGGTTAACACCTACACACGCGAAATGTGTATAAGGGAACTCCCGAATTGAATTACAAATACTATTATTATCATATTATTAAAATATGTCAATCACATCGCTCTACACTGATTGTAGGTTCTTATGATAGGTAATAATAACCTTTGATAAATCTATGACATTTCTTTGTAACTATTAACATTATTAAAGTGTGTCAAATAACATAGAGTAAGGCAAATGAATAACCTTTTTATGTTAAAAAGGTGATAAACAACCAAATGGTCCGCCTGATGGTAAGCGGCACCATAGCCCATCTATTCTGTAAGTTCACCTTACAGAATACCAAATGAAATACTACTGATAACGTTAAGCTATTAAAGTGATTGTTACCATGTACCTTGTTTTTAATTAGTCTCTGATATTTTGGCACTGTTGCAAGTGCCATGATCACGGAGTGAAAGTTTAAAACAATATACTTATAACGTTACTTCGGGCGGGCGTTCCAATTTGAGCGGCAAATCCACTATACCCTACCTCTCTTAAAACTTAAACATATTAAGAGACCTATATGAAAGAATTGATGAGGAGCTCGATGACGCAGGTGGTTAGCGCGTTCGGCTGCGATCCTTGACCTTAAGCAACTTTCGCAGTGGTCGGTCATTGGATGGGTGACCAAAAATCTTGCATCTCGAGTTCTTCCGTGCTTCGGAAGGCACGTTAAGCCGTTGGTCCCGGCTGCATCTGCAGTCGTTAGCACCCGCCGATCCGCACTGGGCCCGCGTGGTGGGTCATGGCCCAATCTTCCTATTCCATCCATAGGGAAGGCCTGTGCTCCAACATTAATAGGCTGATGATGATGATGATGATGATATGAAAGAATTGATTTACCTCGTTTTAACCGCGGCGCCTCCGAAGTTGACATTATTTGCACCTGTGCAGCGCATAGTCATGGCTTGTTGGTGGCTGTCGCAGGCAGTGCCGACGAAGTTAGGAGTGCCTCTGTTTGGGGCGACTATAGACTCTGCATAGAAAGCAACTCCATAAACGTGGGAACAGCTGACGTCCATGCCACAGCCGATCTGCTGGGAGCCACCGTTGGGGTAGAAGTCGATGTGGCCGAGGGGCAAGTCGTAACCTTGGATACCAGCTGTGGTGTGCAGAACCTCCACAATGGTGGCGGCGTCGGTACCCAGACGGCCGGGGTGGTGAGACCAACCGTGCAGTGAAGGATCGATGGCTGAAATCGACAATTAATACTTGATGGCATAGTCTTAAAACCTTTATTCGGTGTATCATGATCTTTGCCGTGTTAACTCCTATTCTGTAGCGTTAAAAACCATGTAAGTAAGAGAAATTTAATAATGATTCAAATAAGATAAGTCAACTTGAATAAAGCTTATTTTTATTTCATTTCAGTAGAATGGACGACGATCACGTTACAGAGATTATTTAGCCCTTTGACTTTCGATATATCAGGATCACCATCGTCGTTCATCCTACTCTAACATAGAAATTGTTTAAACTAAGAAAGAAGAATAAGCTTGGATTAGTTACTCCATGTTTTTTCTGTGTTCATTAATTTCAAATGGCATTTGAGTGAAATGAAAAAAACACGGCGAAACTGGTCTAAGCGTACTCCTTGTTTATTAGGGGGGGCAGAGTAGGACATGCCATGACTACGTTGAAAGTTGACGATGCTACATCGATGATCGACTTATACCCCCTTATGAATAAACAAAGAATAAGCTTAGACTAGATACGCCGTGTATTGTTCATATCGCCGCTTAAATGCCATTTGTCATTCAATTAACAGAAACAAAATAAGGACTAACTAATCCAAGCTTAGTCTTTGTTTATTAATAAGGGGGTAAGAGTACATTCCTTGCTTATAAATATATATGAATGAATGAAACTAAGGGTGTTCACTGCTTCGTTTACGTGAAATGTATTTTTCCTTTTAATAGTGGATAATCAATCTAACTGAGCTCAAATTCGTATTTAAATAATTAGTTGTTAATTATTGGATATACATAATTTTAACTACCTAAAACTAATTGGAGGACTGTAGAAATTTATTTTGTATGAAAACGAAGGTTAGCAGTTTATTGCCTGCATTATGGTTCCTACACACAATGCCTTGCCGCCGGGCAAGCCGCGGTGCGCACTGAACTGAGGCTTAAAAGCCGCCGGCTTTCCCGCAGAACGAAATCGCCGGCATAACTGTTTCGGTATCCAGGCGTACCGCGTAGGTTGCTAGGACATTTCAATGATGCTAAACGGCTTTGTCCAAGTTTCTGCAGCATATTATGCCAGCGGAACAGACGTGCGGCAATTGCGTGTAGGAGCCATTAGGCCGAAGCTGCACTGGTACGGCGACTTCGACGCGTACTGTGCAAGTAACTGACTCAGAACTTTACTTATCGATTGTGAAACAAGCCCTAAATAATCACATTTTAGATCTTTTTTGGTAGGACTACCGTATTTTTCTCTTATGTAATTTACTCACCTACGATGTGTGGAATGTTTCCTACGACCAGCCTGCCGGCAATAGCAGCAATGTGACCTCCTAAACCGACGCCCACAATTCTGATCTGCGAAGGTGGATAGCTGAACTGGTTGTTGAGCAGATTGATGAACCCTGAGATGATGAGCCCGACCTGGTTCGCCTGCGACACGCCCTCGGAGTACGTGTTGGATCCAGCCCTCCAGTCCACGGCGATCACGTTCACATCCTCAGCCTCCATGTGGGCTGTACAAATAATATTGTTTAAATATAGCGTGTTGCCAGAGATGATAATGGTCGTTGACTATGGGCCTCAAAAAGAAGGCTCAGAGTCGCACAGAGAGCGAGAAAGCGGAGAGAGCTAAGTATGCTCGGTATTTCTCTACGTGATCAAATCAGGAATGAAGAAATCCGTAGAAAAACTAGAACAACCAACATAGCTCAACGGATCGCCAAGCTGAAGTGACAATAGGCGGGGCACAGCAGGGGAACTGAAGACATCAAGCGAGCCGGGGGGACCGTTGTGTATGGAATAATCTCTCGAGGGAGCCTATATCCACCAGTGTACGTCTATCGGCTGAAGATGATGATATCATATACATAAATTTAAATTCAATAAGCACAATCATTAAACAGCAGAACCAACAAAAATCACCAGAAAGTTCATAGTCTGAATCGTCTTTTGGCATTTAATACACTTCTGGACACATCTATTGGCCCACCTTGTATTTTCAGTTTCGTTTGGTCCTAGCTAAAATTTTATATTAGGTCGAAAAGTTTTTATGCAGTTTTGAACCTGGTACATTCACAATTTCATTCAATAGTCTTTTTTTGAATTTCGAACACAGAATTTAAAGAAACAAAAGACAATTTGGAGCCTGTTTGTTGATATCAAACAATCGAATACTAAGAAAACTTGGTTTTATTGGTTTACTTGGATTTAATTCTTGAAAAAGTGATTGATATATTTGGTTTTGCTACAAACATTACTTATTCTTAACATTAAGGTGAGGTTCTATCAATAATCTATGGATACTTCACCTGAAGTCGCCGCCCAAGCTGTGGCACTTATTCAGGCCGGACACAGCCAAAGAAACGTGAGTGCTCAACTTAATTTAAGTCGATCTGCGGTCCGAAATGTTTATCGGAGGTACCTAGAGACTGGCGGCTTTGTTCGTCGCCAAGGAAGGCCATGATCTCGGGTCACAACTGAAAGGCAGGATTGATTCATCGTGACGACCAGCTTGAGAGAAATCGTCACCTTATCTTCATTTAGATACAAAAACAAATTCACGACTTCCACGGAGTATCTGTGAGCGCTCGAACTGTTCGGAGAAGGTTAAAAGAACGCGATATGGTACCATACAAGCCAGCTAATGGGCCCAAACTAACGCGAGCCCACCGAACAGCGCGCCTTCATTTCGCACGCAGTCATTTAAATTGGACACAGCAAGATTGGAGCCGTGTACTCTTTTCTGATGAGTCTAAAATTGTGTTACATGGCAATGATGGAAGGAAGAAGGTCTACCGACGTAAGGGTGAGCGTTTCGCACAATGCTGCTTTGAAGAGAGGGTTGCTTATGGCGGTGGCTCATGGACTGTCTGGGGCGGTATATCCGCGAGCGGCAAAACTCAACTTGAGGTTGTTACAGGACCACGGCTGCCAACATTAAATGCTGAAAGGTACATTCGTGAGTGCTTAGAACCTCACATGATACCATACGCGGACTATGTGGGCCCAAATTTCCTTTTTATGCATGATAATGCAAGAGCCCATGCGGCCGGCATCGTCAGGGAATATCTTCGGGATGTGAACATCACAGTTATGGACTGACCAGCCAGAAGCCCAGACATGAACCCCATTGAGCACATGTGGGACGGGCTAAAAAGATGTGTTAGGGCTCGTCAGCCAGTTGCCCAGACGATGCAGGAGTTGAAAACTTCCATAGAAGAGGAATGGGAGATGATCCCTCAAAATTTCATAGAGCGGTTGATAAACTCTATGCCTAATCGTATGAGAGCTGTGGTAGATGCCCATGGAGGCAACACGCGTTATTAAATTAAACCTTTATTTGATAAAACATGTTTTTTATTCAAGAATCAATTGCCTTTATCAAGGCGCATATCCGACTTGTTAGGCGTAGCTCCATGTCGTATGGTATTCTGAATTCAAATTTAAAACAATACGATCGAAAAAGATGGTAAAATGTATCAGGTTTAAAACTGCATCAACAGTTTTTGTTCAATCTAGCAATCATATTTCGGTAGGGGCCATCGAAACCTAAACTCTAAGGTGGCCAATAGATGTGTCCAGAAGTGTATATAACTTTTCCTTTTTTAGGATTCCGTACCCAAAGGGTAAAAACGGGACCCTAATACTAAGTCTCTGTCTGTCAGTCGGTCTGTCACCAGCACTCAAGAACCGGGAGTCTGCTAGTAGCGTGTAAACTCCCCCGTATCATCGAGTAGCAGATGGTAAAAAAGTCGATGACATGAGGCGAGTTACAAGCTACAATCCAGCGAGTTCGCTAGTAGCTTGTAAACTCGCACCGTGTCATCGGCTTTTTAACAAAAAAAAATCAAAAAGGCAAAAAAATCGAAACAGGATGAAATCCAAACCAAAAGAATTCATCCTGTTTCGATATTTTTTGCTCCCAAAATTTTTCCATACTGGTCTATATATGTATAATATATGTCTCATAGACGGTATACGGTTACAGGGTCACAATGACTGCGATAAAGCATATACATACCGGGAACCATAAAGGCGTTGGAGTTGTCGAAGTCTTGAAGCCCGTGGATAGTAAAGATGGTGCGTTTGTTAGGTGCAAAGTTGGAAACCAAGATTGAGCTCTCCGTCGGGAACAACACTTGGCTCTGGCTGGGATTTGCCCTGGAATTATAATTTTCAGCTTAATGAAACTTATAAAAGACAAGGATAAAATACTTCGTCACACGAAAAAGGGAGCTTTCATTGGCTGGAGTAATGACAGCAATACAACCCGGCCAATGACAGAAAAGCTTAACTTTCTTCGGAGATAGCTCGATTCCTTCAATAGGGCTGTATAAATACCACTATTTGACTAGGGCATAGAGCAACACGGCCAACGCGGCCAAGAGGGGAGTAGCCATAGTGACATAATACTAGGTACTGAAATCATTCTGCCACTTTTTGTGGGGGAAGGAATAATGCACACAGTCTAACATACATTCACAAAAAACAAAATTGTAATAACAACAATCACGCATAAAACATGACACAATACCGGTGTATTGTGTATTTTTTATGTGCAAGTGTCGTAATTACATTTTTGTTCTGGCGGTCCATATTCTGCATATTCATTTAAAATTTTATATACAAATAAGTCACAACTCACATTTTGACACATTATTTACGTCCAAAGTACTTGTCCAATTTATAGACACCGCAATATCGATGAATTTGGAAATCGCCATTACAATAAGGTGGATGGGATATTAGTAAAACTATTAGGAACAGAAACATTCATATTAAATTCCAAGGTCAATCAATGACAAGGTCCTAAATAAAAAAAAATGATTCAGTATGACTAAATAAAGTTTCAAACATAACACCTTGTTTTGAATCAATATTTGCTAAAGTGCTGTAAATTTGAATACTTTAAAAAATCAGTACTCTTTATTCAGTTTAGGCTACAACAATACATGCACGTATGAAAGTCGAAAAAGTACGTAAATCCTCGAGACTTTGTACTGAGAAGGACCAGCAAGGTCTTTTTTTCTACCTATCCCAACTATCACACTACTGCAAGGTGCAGCTTTCCTTAAAGCTCCAATGTCCAAAATGGTGGCATAATGGAGTCAGGATTAGGCGCGAGTTCGATAACTACTAAAATTATAGCTCATGGCTGCAACAGATGTTCTAAAAATATAAGCCTTATAAGTAAATGATAAACTGAGCTGTCAAATGTAAAAGATTTTTATTAAAACTACTTACCTTGTAAATAAATGGAAGACCACATCTTGAGGCCCCAGGCTATGGCTGGAAACTGAAATAAGTTAATACTACAATTAATATGGCAACAACACAATTTCTCAAACGTTATGTATGGGATTACTTTGAAATATAATATTGGAGTTTACTCCTTAAGAATCGATTTGCATATAAGGGTATGAGAAAAATGTGAGGAGTAAAATCTATCGATGAATGACATTAATGACCTCGTTACGTTTTTGTGCGCAACCTCATCTGCGCACCTTTCACTTTTAGCCATGGCAACGGATAAAAAACATTAAGTTGTCACAAATGTCAATAAAATAAATAAACTAAAAATAGATAAAATCGGAGCAAAATAATGAAAACAAATAAATAACAGAATATAGAGAAATGCCGGTAAGTGTCCAGCTATCTTTTTTTTTATGTTATAGGGTGCATACGAGCAGACGGCTCATCTGATGGTAAGTGATCACCGTCGCCCATAAACACTTGCAACACCGGGAGTATCACAAATGCGATGCCGGCCTTTAAGGAAGGAGTACGCTCTTTTTTTGAAGGTTTTTGGGTCGTATCGGTCCGTAAACACTGCTGGCGACAACATATTCCACAGTTTTGTCGTACGTGGTAAAAAATTTCGACAAAAACGCACGGTTGTGGACAGCCACGCATCAAGATGATGGGGATGAAATTTTTGTCGCGGTGTACGATGGCGAAATGCAGCAGCTGGAATTAATCCGAACAATTCCTCAGAACACTCCCCGTGATAAATGCGATAGAAGATGCAGAGCGAAGCCACGTCCCTACGCAAAGCCAAAGGATCAAGCTGATTGGAAAGGTCCTGGTCGTCGACTATTCGAGCCGCTCGGCGCTGGATGCGATCCAAAGGGAGAAGCTGGTACTGGGGTGCCCCCGCCCAAAGATGAGAGCAGTACTCCATGTGTGGCCGATCCTGTGCCTTATAAAGCTGCAGTCGGTGGGCCGGTGTGAAGTACATTCTAGATCTATTGAGCACACCAAGCTTTTTAGAGGCCAATTTGGCCTTGCCCTCTAAATGATCCCGAAACTGGACATCGCTCGATATGTCAACGCCAAGAATTTCAATACTAGCTGAGGCAGTTAGAGGAGTGTAAATAAAAAAATAATAAATAAATATTTCCGACACTCACACCAATTTGCCTAGCCCCAAAGTAAGCACTATAAGGCTTGTGTTATGGGATGCTAGGGTAACGGATAGAATACATATACTGTACATATATAAGTATATTTATATAAATACATATTAAACATCCATGACTGGAGTACAAATGCTCGTATTCATCACACAAACATCTGCCCCCGCTGGGATTCGAACCCGGGACCTCTCGAGTCGGCGACAGCTATGAAACCCAGCGTACAAACCACTCGGCCACGGAGGTCGTCAAGAGAGTTGTCAGAAAAAAGAGGAGACTCTGGAATAGTGATTTTCAGTACAGATGGAATTATAATACATATTTACAAAATGATGACTAGTGTGTGATATTTTTGAAATTGTGTGTTTCCAGAAATACATAATAAAATATACGATGAATATTGCTGATGTTAGATGATAAAATGTGTGACATGGAACCTATGATTGTCGAAACCATGGGACGATTCCTGAGGTATCTCTACTTGTTACCGACTTCTTCGGACTTGATTTTGTTTTGTGTCTGTTCAAAGACAATCGTTTTTAGAGTGAATACTCCGGTCGTGCGTCGGAGCTGACACACACAATTTTTGAAGTTATACTTCTTTAGGCGCGTTATGAAAAAATGATGAGAGTGAAATCTTTAGATGCGCGCGCATCACTGTAACCCAAATGTAACAGCATGAAGTTGGCCGCGGGCGCGTTATGAAAAAATCATGTGAGTGAAATTTCGAGATGCGCGCGCATCACTGTAACACAATAGTAACACCATGAAGTTGGCCGCGGGCGCGTTATGAATGTTAGTGTCACCACCAAGTGGTTAATAATCCACCATTATTAGACATCTGTTCGAAAGGTACTTTGAACGATCCACGGAGCTCCATAAGATGATCGCGTTGTCAAAAACAATGTTGGCACGCTCGTCGCCTCTGATCACTGTTTTCATATTTATAATATTTATCCACATGTTTCTAGTTTCTATATAGACACAACGTGTTTTAGTTACTTACAAGTGCTAATTACATATGGACTAATAACTTAAATTCAGTAGTGCTTTTAATTGAATATTTTGAATATTTATTTAATTTTTCAAATTAAAACTGAACTTAATTGACTGTGGTAACTATCCTTTTCCAGTCCTTTTATTATTTTATTGTAATTATTAATTATTTGTATGCAATTAAAAAATATTTTTAAGGATGCTAAAGAAGTATAACTTCTCACGCGCGTACATAAGTTACACGCATTTTTTTTTATTATAAACATGGCATCTGGAACTGCTACAAATTTTTCTTAAGAACACTTTGAAAGTTCGAATCCAAGTCTCCAATTTTTGAGATCGATCTCTTGTTTTGTGTTTAATAGTTTACTACCTTTGGAATCTTTAACGTGGTTTGTGTCTGTCTTTATGTCTGCACGGAGTAGTCATCAATTTTGTTTTGTTTTCCCTACTGATCCAAGCCGAGAAACTTCGTCATTTAGTAATTTTTGGTCATTTGGTAATCCGAATTTGTGGTCAGATTTAAGGATTGATCAGGGTTACTTAAAAAAATATATTTTCTAAATACGAATCCGAATTGGATATCAAACACCCCGGATTCGCACGCACTGCAAAAAATATATTTTCGAAAGTAGTTGATTTAACCCACGAATAGCCAGACTTTGTTTACCAATAAATAAATTTTAGTTACTCATAGACCAACTGTTCTGTTACATTTTACAATAACATTTCAGTTATTTGAGTTTAGTTATCAACTACAAAACAATTTGTTATATGCTGTCAAATGCAGTTTAGGTACCCTGTTACATAACAATGTTTTGATATAATCAAACACACTTGAGGTCATTATTTACATAGAGTTGGCCTAACTATTTGTATGTGCTATTTATTAGCAAGCACAAAAACTGCTATATATAACTGAAAAGTGATGTAACTTTTAGCCAGAAAGTTCGTTTACATATTGCAGATGTTTGTTTTGTTAAATGTTAGGCAAATCCGCTGAATCGCGCTAAAGAGATTGTTTTGTGTGTGTATATATATATATATATATAAGGTAAGTTTATGAAATTTATTATTGGAAATCAGGGTACTATGACAGGTTATACAGCAGAAAAGTACAGCACAGCTAAAATTATTCAGAAAGTTGTGTTGAAAAAAAACAAAATAAGCATTTTATAACCAATGTAAGAAATATCGAAATCATTATTACTTGTAATAAAACAGTAATGTATGTGGTGATATGAACGTGGTCTTTTTTTCCATTACGGTTTTGTTGTCAGTCGGGGCACTTTGGTAACTAGTAATACAAAAATAAGTTTAAAAGTAAGTAATAGTTTTTGTTGAGCTGTAGCTAACTCAACTATTTTATCAAAACTGAGTTTGGCTACTTGTAATTATAGTTTTGTAGTCACTATTTTTATATAATAGGTAACATTTTTTTTATTATAAGTAACTCAACTTTTTTCCGTGCGACAGTCGCTAAATCATAGTTTGTTTTACATGTATATTAATTTACCAGCATCTTTGTGGTTATCGACTGGTGAGACCGTAGTATATTATTACAAAATATTTGTATTACTTTAAAATTATCCGAAAGTTCGTGTAGTTAAGTTCATTGGTAACGTAACTTCTCGTATATAAAAAGAAATTATGCCTTCAAATATTTCTCCAAAAAGCGAGTCTATGTTTATTATTTGCAGATCATTATATTACCGTGGCACAGTACAGACACGGAAAAGAATAATCGAACTACAAAAACATAACGTTTTATAAAAAATCATTGCATAATCGTAGTTACTGTATGAAATTTGAATTATTTCCATATAATAATAAAACGGTAGCACTTCAATTTATAACTATAAGTATAGTAAGATTATATTTTATCAGGCGATAATAAAAACAGCAGTCACAATTATATTCCGTTACAAGATTATTGTAATCTTTTCTTTATTACTAAGATTATTTTAGTTTACGTCACCACACAGTCACGAAGGAAATCAGATAATGCTGAAAAACTTAGTTGATATACATTCAAAACCAATATACTTATTTTTAATTACTTAATAAATAACACTTTTTAGTGCATTTTACTTTTTCATTGCTAAAGAAGCTTCCTGAAAAAACCCTGGCCAATTCCGTCATATAAAATCTCACATCCGAGTTCGATACCTCCTATTTTAGACATAATACGTCAACACAGCAAAGTGTCACAGTGGCCATTGAAGAAGCCAGTAATGGATACTTCACATTGGACAAAATAAAAAAGAATGTCGAAATCGAATGTGAGATTGCATGTTACAGAATATCTTAGCTGTTCCCCCTGAGAGAAAGCCTGTTGTAGTTGATTTAAGGAAGAATTAAATAATATTTATGCCGCGTTAACAGAAGCTCCATTTCATCATACGATTTTATTATCTGAATCCTGACCAAATCGGCAATTACGGTGGCCTAACCATTCGTCCAATATCAAACCTTGTCAAATACTGCTTAAGGGTGTACCAGTCCATCACAGGTTTGAAAAAACCTTGTTCGTTTGTTAAAAATCTGTGAGATGAAGTTTAGTGGTTTGCGAATTTGGTCTGCGTTCGTGAAAGCTAATCAACTTTAACTTTTGATATTATACCTAGATTTATAATTTATGATTTGAAGCACCTCAGCTATGAAAGGCAAACTATGCTGTTGTAGGCTGCATCTGCAGTCGTTTACACCCACCAACTTACTCCATACTTTGCCCGCTAAGTGGGTCATGGCCTTTGGCCTTCCTATTTCGTTCATTTAATAATAAAGTATCCGTCTTAGTCTTTCTATTATTTATGATTTGTTAGCAAATATGAACCAAATCAAATTAGAAACTATCTCATGCGAAGTAGGTAAGCTTTATAACTATATACCTGCAAACGTTCATAAGATTTTAGAAACTAGGTACTTGCCAGTATTTAAAGACCAACAAGAGTACCTTATCCATTAAATATTTATAAACACTCATTAATAGCTGCACTTCTGCAAAACCGCCCCAATTTGCAGGTAACTTTTACTATCTTTATGCTAGGAAAACGTGTTAAGAACGTGGTTCATTCTGTTACTTTTAACTCCCATTGCAGCTGCAAGAAATTAAAGTTATAACAAAAACAAATATACTAACTACTTCAAAAATAAGTCAACTTTATAATGAGTCAACCTTAAAAGACATAGATATAATAAATCATACTGTCGCGAACTTCTTTTACAATGGGAACAATACCGTATATAATATTTTCGAAACTTAAGCCGTTACCGCAACGCCAGCAACGGAAGCTCTAAATGGAATACTTTTTCCTGATTTTGCAACATTTTTTATTGATGCTTCGGTACTTGCAGCGTGATGTTGAATTCTTTGTTCTGTATTTTAAAAAGCTTCAAGACTTCATCGATAAGTAGACTATCCGACATAAAAAGGTTGTTCAATTAGATTTTTATAAACATTATATTAATATTATAAACATTGAAGATTATAATGTACACATTATATAGGTACCTGTAACAGCTACGGCCGCCACTAACAAACATTTCACCAGTGTGCACATTTTGACAGACGATTGTTACACTACTAATTTCGATAATTACGCAGCGACGAATATTTATAAATGTGACTTATCTTCGGATTTAATTATTTCTAGTAATAAATAATCCAGCCATAGATAATCCCAATTCGAATGCATTAAGCTAGACGTCAGATAAGAAATATTCCATACAATCTATGTTTAGGTATGTCTAACAAATTACGATGCACTTATTTCAAAAAAAGGCACTTGTTTTTTAACTAGTGACCTGCCCTCGCTTCGCATTGGTGAAGACTAAAATACTATAGCTAGGTACTACCTATAATTTTTGCTCTCAGGCATACCTTCCTATTGCATCACTTTGCTAAAAAATCGGCCAAGTGCGAGTCGAACTCGCGCACGAAGGGTTCCGTACAATTACCTATATAACATTAGACTATATTAAAATATAAAGCAAAACGCGCCAAAAAAATAACGTCTTGTACAGAAGATCGCAACAAACAACGAGAGGAAAATCATTTGTTTGTTTTCGTCACAACTAACAAAGTACATTATGAATCGTCGTTTTCAGTTTTTGATGTTTAAATAAAGCATATGGGACAGCATATACCAAACTTTCACATTATTAACTATTTTCGATTTTGAAAGAGACCCTGTAACAAAAATGGTCTAAAAATGTCATCTTTGTCAGCCCCCATTTCTTAATTATTGTAAATAAAAAAATAAGTTTATATTCTACTCAACGAGACAATGATGTATGCGCACATCATTGTTGTAGGGGTAAAAAAGAAAAAAAAATGACACTTTTTCACGTATGAAAAATAATTTAATTAATATTTTAACTAAATATTCCGCTTTGGGCAAGCATTTACCATTAAATAACAAAATTTCAGTTCTGTAGCACATTCCGTTTACGATCAAAAGACCCGGTGATATACAGTTTTTATTAAAAAATTACAATTGAGAAATTCAAATCGTAAATACAAAGGGGGAAAATTGCATTCTATTTGCATAGAATTTATTGGTGAGATATACATCGCACCTAAAATAATTCCTAGATTATTGTTTTGTACTCTTTCTAGTCTATCTGTTAGTTTTTTGCAGATGCAAAACAGAAAAAAAACATATTCGAAATGACTTCTGACTAAAGTGTTATAGAACAAAAGCAATATTTTAGGATCAGCGCCCCACTAGGAACCAACAAAAGATCTTAATACATTGGTAGCCCTCATAGAAGGATCTATCAAACAATCGACAAAAGCTTTCCACGAAAGGTTTTGCTGAAAAATAACCCCTAAAAATATTGCTGATTTCAATACGGGTAAAGTTTGAATGTTATAAAGTATTTTAAAGTTAGACACGTTTACAAATATTTTCCTCAAAACAACCAGATTACTATTATCCACATTATATTGTTATCATTTATTGCATTTTGTATGTCAGTATGAAGACATCCTATACTTTCTTGAGCAGATCGACCACGTCTGAATCCAAAGTGGTTTTTTGGGAGTAAATAATTACTTCTATATAAAATTCAAGACGGTGTTTCAATAATTGCTCGAATAATTTAGCCATGCAAGAAGTTAAACCTACAGGTGATATAAGTCAGCACAAGCCTTGGTTTTATCTGGTTTAATTACAGGAATCAAGCAAACTATGTTCCACGCGGACCAGGCAGCAGACGGGACTCGAACCCGCACTCTTCGCTATCCGGGCGAATGCACTGACCAATTATGCAACCGCGGCCCTGATGGCCGCGTCGAAAATCTTCTAGCCATTCTTAAGCTGCAAGTCAGCGTCTAGTTATATTTTCTTTAGATTTAAACATCAAGCAGTTACATGCTTAAAAAATAAAATTAAAACTATCTTCCAGTTATCCCAAATGCCGTTAAATACGGCTAAGATTTTTTTAATACTATTATATAGTTCAACTTTTATATCATTTTGTAAGACAGAAAATCCAGTCCACAAGCTGTATGTTTTCTAGATTTGATTGCAGCAGTTAATTCAGACAAAGTGAAAGGTGAAGTTAGGTGATCATTCGTACTTGTCATGATTTCGTAGGAATTAGACAATGATATTAAATACCCTAGATACACCAACACGAACAAAATCGTACCCGAAACCTGTCCAAAAGGTACATTGAACGATCCAAGGAGCTCCGTAAGATGATCGCGTAGTCAAAATCAATATAAGGCATTATTTAAAAATTTAAAGTAACCTTTAAGACATACTGTAAAAGACATCAAGGATTTCTGACAGTTCGAAATGCAAGCTCGTAAAATTTTACGACTTATTGCTATATGCGGAAGAATTTAGACCTTATTCTTTGACTCTACGCGCAATTCTGAAAGCGCTGTTAGCAATATAGCAGGCACGGACCGCGACCAAAGAGACGGCTATATGGCGACGTATAACCGACCATGCATTTGAATATCACAAATATGTTAAATTATAGTAAGTATTACATCAAAATTTGCTTCAAATGCGTTAAATTAACAAACATTGACAAGATACCTGTCGAAAAAACGACACTTTTCGTACTCTATTTTCGCATTTTTTTGCGGAGCTCTGTGGCATCTTGACTTTGTAACGATCCGCGCGTGACTGTGAACCAAGAAGTGCTTGAGTGGAGTTCAAGCACTTCTTGATTGGGATACATTTTAAGCGCTCGTGATGTATCGAGGGTATTTAATATCGTTGGAATTAGAGTTCAAAGGAAAATCTGAAGGAAAAGGTTCTACAACATCTGATGTGTATTTTCGTAAAAAGTCGTTCCAAGATGCAATTTATTCTTCAATTTCAGGAATAAAGCACCGATTAAATTTACTCATAGTTTGCCAAATTTTAGATAAAGGAGATCATTTCATCACCATTTATATCAGAACAGAATTCCTTCCAACTAGTGGTCTTTTTATGATTATTTTAAGAGCTTTCCCTTTTTTAAAGTTAACATAGTTTTCGTGAGAATAGTTGTTTTTTATTTTAATATAAGCTTCTTTACTGTTCTGTACAGCTTTATTGCAATTTTCATTCCACCAAGGGACAGCGAAATGTCTCCTTTTAATGAGGATAAAGAGAAACAAAACGTTTATCCCTGTCTCCATTCTTTGAATTTCCATAATTTTTATTTAAATAATCAAGTACCTACAGCTCTTTAATAATTATTTTAATTTATGATAAAAATATGTAATAATCACCATTATTGTTTTAAATACTGATGCTTGTTAAAAATAAAAATACATGTCAGCTATAAATTATTTTATTATTAATTTTAATAAATTAGTCTGAGAGTAAAAATGTCAGTTTTTGAACTTCAGCTGATCTCTTCAATCTCACTTATTGGCTTCATGCTGATGGAGGCAGAGTTGAGTTGGCGTGATTCCTGGAAATAAATACTTAGTTGAATTAAATATTTTTCACGCTTAAGCAGCGTTTTCGCTGTAGGATTACTGCATTAATCATCGTGAGATAACAAACAGATAACGAGTAGGAAATACATTTTATTCTATTATTCAGCGATAGTAGTTCCACGTTGTTTTCTATACGAGAGCCTTCGAAAAAACAGATGGTTGTCTAAAGAACAAAAAAGGCATGTTAAATATTTATTAGGTATAATTTATATATTTGTGTATGTATATCGATAATGGACAAGCAAAATCAAGCAAAATTTGGTCGAAAATGAGACGAAAATAAACACTGTAATCTGACTAAGATATAAAATGTATGGCATTTTTCAGCGTAGACCTGTTTGTTTCGTAAAGATTTGATAACTTTTTTGGCACTTAAGCAACTCATTTTTTTGTAATTTTTATAATTCAAAGCGCTGAAATTACGTCATTGAATAGGGCTTCTGTTCAAGAATTCTCAAACTCAAAAAGGCAATCGAGAAAAAAAAACCTTGGCCTCGAGAATTGTTTATGCACTAATTCAAAGTATTCGGGGATGTAGCAAAATTTTAAATGTAATCTTTTAGTGCTCCCACACATAACTGCGAATTTGCATTACAAATATCTGAGAGCTCTCTCGAATGCACCGCAAGAACTTCCTATCTGCTTCGCATCTCGCATTTCTGCGATATTACGTCACATTTGGTGTCGCCATTTTAGTCCACTCGTTCTGAGACAGCGTAGGGAAATACACCGCAGTCGTTGTGTGGACAATGGCGAAATATGACGTGGCTTATTTATCTTATTCTGTTCTGAAACCATAGTTCATAATCGCAATAAATGGATGAACCCAAAATGTTATTTATCTTCTATATCTTTCTCAGTTAAGTGTGAGAGCACTTAGTTCCTTGTTATTGCGGTAAGCTCGGATGTAAGGTTCGTCCGAGGGGTGCGGCGGGTCCTTATCCTTATACAGTCTCCTTAGTTGTGGCGAAAGCAGTTTGGGCCGCATGTGTATCTGCCTACCTTGTTGTAGCCGTAAGCTCGGATGTAAGGTTCCTCCGCGGGACGCGGCGGGTCCTTGTACAGTCTCCTAAGTTGTGGCGCGAGCAGCGTGGGCCGCACGTGTACCTGCCTAACTTGTTATTGCCGTAAGCTCAGATGTAAGGTTCGTCCGCGGAGTGCGGCGGGTCCTTCTATAGTCTCCTAAGTTAGCTATAGCTAAGTTAGCGCGAGTAGCTTGGGCCGCACCTGCCTACCTTGTAATAAGACGTAAGCTCGGATATTAGGTTTAACCGCGTGATGCGGCGGGTCCTAGTACCGGCGCCTATCTGCCTACCTTGTTGTTGCCGTAAGCTCGGATGTAAGGTTCGTCCGCGGGGTGCGGCGGGTCCTTGTACAGTCTTCTGAGTTGTGGCGCGAGTAGGTTTGGCGCGGGCGGCACATGCGCGGCGCCCCGCACGCGGTTGACCCGCGACACAGCCGCGCCAATGCATATGGTCACCAGCGCCCCCGCTAGTGTGTACCACATGTATGATACTCGAATAACAGGGTTGGCGGCTTCCCTGCGCAAAACAATAATTTGTTTTAGTTTTTCTTGAAAACGTGCCATCTGAAGCGCGGACGCGGAGGAGTTTCATATAAGTAGGTAGTGAAACTTTAGATCACCCATTCATTGAACTGGCTTTTTCAGAAGAATATCTATACTCATATTATAAAGAGAAAATATTTGTCTGTTTGTAACGAATCAAATCAAAAACTACTGCATTAGAAAGCTACAATATTTCTGTCCTCGTAGCATGACCACCACATTATAGTTATACATCATATCACGTGTAACTGTCAAACTCCATAGTAATTTGACAATTTAGCGTGATAAAATAAAACGAACAATCAGTATGTCATATCGCGGTGCTCATATTAGGGGGCTGAGTGACAAAGGCACATATAATATAAGAGATATTTATCGTAGTAAAACAATTTCATATGTGCAAAGCTGGGGCCAATCACTTGTAATAAATATAAGGTTAAAGTATTTATTATTCCTTTTTTTAATAACTAGATTAATAGATACAAAGCATTACTAATAGCTGTAAGTATTTACATGTGTTCATAGTTCACTGTAGTCGTTTCCACCACCGTATAATTGTACTGGCATCCTGCGGTGGTCAAATCTTTATGGGGATGGACGATTTGACCACGGGCGATAGCCATCTGGGCGGTAAGGCACCACCAAGCCATCGTCGCTAGACCACAGATCCCACCCACTAGGGCACCCTGTAACAATTTATATATAGTTCATTGTATTGTTATTTTAAGCATTAAACTGTGTGATTTATAAATCTGAAGTAAATTGTACTAGAAAAGAATAATTATGTTTGATAAATGGATCGAGTGGCTTTTTTTATTAAAAAAATCTTTAGATTTTATTTTTCTTTTATACATCGGAAAGAGTATAATGGAAAATGTAATTTCGGTGTAGTGTTGACGATGTAGATGATTGGTCGGACGGAAAGAAGAACAAACAAAAGATTATAGGAAATTGTTGACAACAGAAGAGAAAACAGTTATAAAACCTATAGAAAACAGAAAAGATGAATGACTGCTACTGATGGAAAGAAGTCCATCAAGGGAAAATAAAAAGAAAGATAGTAAGGGCTGCAGTGCAGATGAAGTCCAAGCACAAAATACGCTAAGCAAAGAATATTGTTGCAAAAAAAAATATTGGGCACAACGGCACTGTAGAGGATTATGCTATGCGAATTAAAGGGTTAAAAGTGGCATACACAGGACAGAAGACAAAACAATCCAAAAAAATCTGGATATTGCTACATCAGCACTCCTGCCGTTTGCCCGTGGTAAAGGATTCGAATCCCGGTAAGTATATTGTTCTTATAAATTCATTTTGTTATCTATATATTTATTGTATTATGCATACATAATATAATCAATATACAACCACTATATTCAGAAGTCTTACTAACACCTAACAACGAAATGCTTAATTAATTAATAATATTGAAGTTGACAGTAATGTGTAAGTTTTCCATACTTACCGTGGCGTCAACCCACGGCATTAAGATCCCCATAGAGAACACACCCAACTGTGGGCCCATAGTCATGGCTTCCAATGTCATCGTTAACTGCAGAACTGTACCCATTTTCTCGACGACAAACACCAAGCCTAGAATAATTCGATTTGTCCAAGCGCACACATAATATAAATAAATATATAACACATGCATTCTACAAGGATGTGGAAAAACGCTGAAAACAAAAGAATTAAAAAAATATTATCAGTGTTTTTTTTTTGTTTTTTTGAAGAAATAAATTGTTTATGGCGAAATGTTCTCATTTATTTGTTTCTTAAGTTTTCACGCACACCACTATTAAATAAAACACGCTTAAACGGGTTCAAAATAGGTTTTTTATTACTTTTTGGGCGTTTCGTATCCTTTTCAGGCTACGTCGTCAGAATTATGATTTTAATTTACTTTTGCCTGTTCCAAATTTTTCTTAATCTAAAGTAACCATGTAGTTAGGAAATTCTGAAATTTTGTTCCCAATTTAAAACTTTTTAATTACCGCCCTCTACAAATTATGCTCAAAATTAGAATGTAACTGGCCAGAATTCCTAAACACAGGTTGGTTGTATTATTCTCGCTATTCGTGATTAGGACAAAGGAAAAGAACTATCAATGAAATATGTATTTGAGCCATCGGCAATTAAGTTGTCAGAGACAAACAGAACTTTAAACCATTTACCTACACAGAGAGTGCCTAGAAGAACGACGACGCCTCTCATGAGCCAGTTAGCTTGTTTATCTGACAACTCCTTCTTGAAGAAGGGCTTGTAGAAGTCCTCCAACACTACAGCCGACATTGAGTTCAAACTCGTTGACAATGAGCTGAAACAAAATTGTTCATTATACGTATCTATAACAAAATATTAATTGATACTTGTATTCTCTAGTCTAAGTTTCTCCGGAAAAAAAATATCCCCCAAAGAGAATTCGAATCAGAGAACTTACAAGTCCAAGACAGGGATCTTGGACTGGTACTGGACGTGATAGGTGGCATTCGGGAGCGAAATTGTAGTTCCAAATGCCACCACAATTCAATAATTCTTTTGAGTGGTACCACAAATATGATCTAAGTTCCTATCATCATTTTTAATGTCGGGAAAGTACAGTGAAATAAAAAACGCCTTTTATTAAACTGAGTCCATGGTTGCGAACACCACGAATCTCATGCTCAGTACCTAATAACCTTCCTCAAGTTCTACCTCATAGATATAATCATTGACATTTTTTATCATTATGTCATAAAAAATACGTAGTAGTTCATATCCTTGGATTCCAGCTTAATTATATCTAAATGTAATAAAGATAATAATGATAATCGTTAATATATTTGTTTTTAAATTAAATTGTTAAAATGTAGTCTAACTACAGTTCGTAATAGTCTTTAAAAAAGAAGGTGGTCCTTTATTACCCGATTTTTAGGGTTATTTTGAGTTTTTCAAAAAACGCCCACGAGTTGAACAAGCCCACCGCCAAGGTGGCTTACTGACGTCATTTTGCAACAGAAAAAACAAGACTTACCATTTAGGTTTTTTTTTCACTGAAACGATATTTCTTTCGACAGATTGACTGTACTAAAGGTTCTATAAATGTCATCAAAAATTTTGCCGTAAACTAACAATATTGTTTCCAAGTAAAAAACGTAATCTCAAAGGTAGAGATGAAGAGACAAACATGACTCATTCCATTCGTTCACGAAAACTGTTTGTGGTTCCAAACTTTATGTGCCTGTTCGAAAATGAAATTAAGTAGAGACAGTAGCGAAATTTCGTTTAAAATTCGTTCGTTACCGAAATTTCGTTTCGGAGAAAGAGAGTAAAGCTCGGACCGATTCGGGAAATTGATCTTTTTTTGTTTGAAAGACTATACATATTTAAAAAGCTCAGGGTCTGATAATAGAATTTCGGAGTAAACTACAGAACTCTTGAAAACTTTTTATATATATATACTTTATTAGGCTATTGTAACTTAGACAAAATCTACTTACCTATACACTAAAAAGCTGGCCAAGTACCTACTTAATTGATGTTGCTCTGGATTATAAAAACACATACCTGTTCATGCAGGATATGACCATATGCTTTTTTTGGATAAAGACTGAACGAAATAAAGTCATTCTTTATTCTTAAAAAACAATAATAATCACAATCTTTATTTTTTTCTTCCACAACCTATAAAACATTTGAAAACTTATCTTATATATAAAATTCTCGTGTCGCGGTGTTTGTGGTTAAACTCCTCAGAAACGGCTTTCCCGATTCTCATGAAATTTTGTGTGCATATTGGGTAGGTCTGAGAATTGGACAACATCTATTTTTCATCCCCCTAAATGTTAAGGGTACTCCACCCCCATTTTTTTTCAATTTTAGATATTTTTTTTTAATTTCTTTATGATACATCATACACAAATACATACAACCCTAAATTTTCACCCTTCTACCACCAACCCCTATTTTTTTATGGCGGTACGAAGTTCGCTGGGACAGCTAGTAATAATATAATTTTATATGATGACAGTAAATACATTGTAAGAGTATGGGGCCTGAACAAGACAATAAAAACAGTAATGATTATTTGTTTATTTACCTAAGAGCAGCACTAAAAATGCCTGCCACGAAGACTCCAGGCAGGCCCGGAATGTCGCCGAGCACGTCCATCACTAACAATGGCAGAAGTTGGTCCTTGGCCTTGGCCAGCTGTAACCGAAATTGAAATTAAAGAGCGGCCGTATAAACATAGAGAGAACAATTAACTTTTAAGCCAGTTTTCCACCGCCAAAGAGAAATGAACTAGGGATGTCTAGCGAAGCGGTCTTCGTGTACATAAAATAAAAGGATTGCTTTTCTACTCATGAAAATGAGTCTTCTAAAAAAAAATTGCTTGTCTTTTCTCTTCTTTTATTTTTGAATACAATAAATCTATAAAACTTTATAAAATATGTAATTCTTTAATCGTTAAAACTGCATGCCTGTTCTATAAAAATAGGAAAGAGAAAAACTCAGTATCAAAATGCAACTTTCGTAAGAAATTCTTTTAAATATTTAGAAGGAAAATATTTTAAAGTACATAACTCAATACCTTTATATATTTTTTACTTATAGACATGTCCGCCTTACAAAGTTCAAATAGGGTATTTGACAGTATTAAAAATAAAGTGCCAAATGTTAGCATCTGTGTTTAAAATGTTTTTACTACTAAAAACCCACGAAAAAGATAATAGTTTTCTTATCTATTGTCACGTGACCCATGCTTGGGATGTGCGGAGCCTAAAATGACGTCACACGTAAGTAAACTTCCGGTTAAAGTGACTTTACATTGTATCATTTGACGTTGTAATAACAGTCGGGTGACGTCACACACTAGTAAGACGCCATATTGTCCAGAGAAACGTTTTCGCGGCAATTTGAAAATGGAGTCTTTGATTTGGTTATTTTTACTGAAATACACAACAGAATGATGAATATCCTTTTTACGGACTCCATTAACATTCGTCAATAACGTGAGATCGTTTTCTAAAACTTGTCAAATACCCAATTATTTACAAATCACAAAAAATATTGTATCGAACCTATTCGCTATGTGCGAAGTACATGGTGGGGGTATAGTGAAGCGATCGCAGCGCTTATAGTGGCAGAAATACGCAACAATCCGGGAAAGTAAAGTCAATTTGCACGGAGTTCGTAATAAACAAAAATTTTTTAAAATGCCTATTAATAGATGTTGTTGTGTTGTGAATTGCAAAAATAAGGGCACAAATAGTCTGTGTATATATTTCCTACATTGGACTGGAAATTAAATCAAAGAAATAAATGGATAGATGCCATAAAAAGAAATAAGTAAGCGAAATAACCTTAAATTATGATCAATTTTATTTGCGCTATATATTTTATGTGATATTCATTATTGTCTTTATTATTTTAGTGTTGATGGGTCGCCATGGTATCCCAAACCTGACGACACAATTTGTAGTGAACATTTTATGGGAAACAAAAAATCAGACGAGGAAGAAAATCCGAGTTATGCTCCTACGATATTCCCTGAAATATATCGAAAGAGGAAGGTTAATGATTCACAGGTCCTAGCTAGATATACACGCTTGACAAAACGAAGAACCACAAAAGTCTCAGATACCACATCAAGTCAAATAATAATTGAAGAAGGGAGTGAATTAAATCAAACTCAACCTTTTATGATCGATCAAGGATGTCAAGTCAATATGTTTTCTGAATCGAAATTAAGAGATACAACTTTTATTTGTATTAGATTAATTTACAGTGATCACTGTGATCCAACATCAAGAATTTTAATGACAAATAATTCAAGAAAGAAAGATAAAAGCTGTGGCACTGACAAAAAATCGTATGAGGATCAATCTACCGAAACAAAAAGTCAAGAATTTGTTGGTATTTCATCAATAACAAATGATCAAGAACTCCTAGATCCTTCTGGTGTGTCATTTAGCAATTTTGAGTTTTTATTAACAAGATTAACTATGAGAAAATGTACAGTTTCCACTAAAGACCGACTTCTGATTTTTTTGATAAAAATGAAAACTGGCTTGACATTTTCAGCATTGAGTGTGTTATTTGGTGTACAAAAAAACCACAATCTCACGTATATTTCATTCGATCTTACAAAATCTAGCTTGTTCAACTGCTAATTTAATCTTTTGGCCGAATAGAGCCACCGTACAAGCACCAATGCCCAAGTGTTTCAGTCCAGATTACATCAATACAAGAGTTATTATTGACTGTACTGAATTCCGAATTGAAATCCGACATTATTTAAATTATTATACAATATATAATAATTTTTATTTATCTTTACCTTACTATATTTACTAGAAATCAATAAAATACAAACTGATGTTATTATTTGGCATAATCCCGGAAAGTTGCGCATTGTAGGTGGCGCTACTGTCGTGCACATAGCGAATAAAGTAATACTACTGCAAATGTTGTGTAAAATGGATTTCGGAGAACGGATCACAAGGAGGTAGAATACTATTAGCCAATAAAGTCTCACCTTAGTCTGCAGAGGATCACAGTCATGGAATCTTGCGTATATTAACAACCCGCAATATAAGCAGAAGGATATCAGAACCGATATTCCAATACAGAATAATACCACGGCGCTGCAAAATTTAAGTCAAGCAATTAGAAAATGAGGGAAAATATATAAAACCATGGAGAGGTTAGCTAGCACTATACTGACTAACGTATTAACATTATAATTGCGATAGTGTGTCTATCTCTCTATTGCCTCTTCACACTTAAACCGCTCAATCGATTTGAACGAAATTTGGTATAGAGATAGTTCGAGTCCCGGGAAAGGACACAGACACAGGATAGCTTCTATCATAGAAATCATCCTTCAAGGCAGTGGAAGTAGAAGAATAAGATAATTTTGAAATGTATCTTTGAATATAATTTTTTAAAGGTTTAGCTCTCGCAAATCCCTCCTCGAAAATTAGATATACATATTTAATAGAAACTTTACCCACAGAATAATAAGTAGTTGTACTGTAAAGTTTTGCTTTCTTTGTAAATGATTATTGAAGCTCCACACGAGACGTCTTTATTGGTGATAAAAATTTGATTATTTTTGTCATTTTGAGGGCTTTTAGTTGCTTTGAAACACAATTAATCGAAAAAAGAAAGATAGAGGAACATAGAATGAGTAAAATTATATTTTAAGTATGAAAATAATTTCTTTAGTGATAAAAATCAAGAAGAAATCAGTCTTGAACGTTTGTATGAAAAAAACATAACCTGCCTTCCCTCTTAAACCTAAGCAACGGCCGCACAAATAGACGTTAATTAAACCATATTTAAAAATCAACCAATATGGTTTAAAGTTGAAGATTGTTTTTGCGATGCCAAAGACAACAGTTATTTTATCAAACGTAAAATTTAAATGTACCCGAGTGTGGCAGTTAAGTGTTTTTTTTTCTCTTGTATTACTATATAAAACCAATGTATAAATACCATTTCGCTCCTCGTAGAGTAGGTAAGGCCAAATATCTTTGCACCATAGTTTGATTAACTGAATTTGCCTGGAGCCAATATACAAAACCACCAACCACCAAACTCCATACTGTGTGACGTGCCAAAGGATTGGGATCCCAACTGCAATAAAATGTACTTAATTTATATTGTGTCCTGACCCTTCCTTGTACTCCGGGTTAAAGTAGGAAGGTATTAAAAAAACATGCCCTGCTCGATAGTTAAAGCTTGTATAAAATATTATATAGTATATTGGTCCACTGCAGCGCCTTAAATCGGGTAGAGTTGTAAGGCAAGTTAAGTTTTTCTTCAATTTTCTAATATTTTTCTGTGTAACTCTCTTATTTAATCCGTAAAAAACCTACAGAAAGTTTAACAAGACTCGAAAAAAGATGGATGAAATCGGTAGTCTTAAGAATTAAGAATAAGTTACGATGTGACCAATGAAAATATGTATTTATTTTTACATTTCAATGAATAGGTACGTTTTGGTCTCGTTAAAATGCTTTTTGTAACCCACAATGTCAGTCGTAATACTTTTACAAGTAATTTATAATTGAAAAAAGAAATGGCAATTGTAAATTTATTACAAGCATTTAACTGCTGGATTTTTAAAATCCGAGTGTGCGGGTTCGAATCCCGTCTACTGCGTAGGCCCCTTGGTTTCTTTCTGGTATCGTTTTTTAGTAGCAGTCTATTGCTTTTTTTTGTTCTGCGGCTGTTTCCGTTTTACACAGAAATTTCGCCAATGTCCCGTAGTGAGAGAGACACGACATGGGAGAGATTACTCGGTATTTCTATAAATAAAGATTAAACATTTTATCCAAATAACTATTCTTCCTCGAGCTTTTCACATTGTTCTTCTGAAAGCATAACACACACACAGACAACACAGGGTTATAATAATATATACAGTGTAGTTAAATTAATCGATAGAGCAAAAAACTATTTAATTAAATCTAGAGGGGATATTAACATTATAGTTTGATATTATATATTTTAATATATTTACATATACAATAAAAGCCAGGCCTGTCAGAAGCTGTTAAAATAGTGTTAAGGCTAACGGGACGCTGAGTTTTTGGCAGAAGTAGAGGATATAGAGACGGGTGTTTCTGACAGTAAAAGAAAATGTGGTCTGTGGTTCCTTCCTCAAGACCGCATTCGCAAATGGAGGTATCTAAAATTCTCATCTTTGAGAGAAACACTGGAGAAGTGATGTGGCCAAGACGGAGACGACTAATCGTTGTGATAACTTGTTGGGGAAAGTCGCGAAATTTGGCGAACCACGGTTTCCTCCGTATTGCTACCTGGAGGCGGCCATATAGACAGTCTATAATTTTGGAGTTGCGGGGTTAAATGCTTAAAATAATTAAAAAGCAAGGTAGAAATAAATAAGAATGTCAATGTCAATTCATATGTTTATCACTATCAGTACATGAGTTGTAAAATGAAGTAAGATGTGGGTTTAGATGGATTACAATAATGACCATAAGTTCTATTGTCGTACCTACTGCATAGGCGGGAGTAATAAACAGGAAAGGATGTCATAAATCTCACTGTAACTTTTCATTTTCTTGAAATATGCTGCTTAAGAATTATTTTCTCAGACACTAATCAAAAGTGCATTAATGAAGACAGACTCTCTTTCTCCGCAACGAAATTTCGGTAACGAACGAATTTTAAACGAAATTTCGCCACTGACTACTCTATTTCATTTTCGAACAGGCACATAAAGTTCGGAACCACAAACAGTTTTCGTGAACGAATGGAATGAGTCATGTTTGTGAGTTCTTTTCATCTCTAAGATTGAGATTACGTTTTTTTTACATGGAAACAATATAGGTAGTTTATCGCAAAATTTTGATTCTTTATTATTATATCCCACAAAAAACGTTTGTTTATAAAGTTTGATATGAACTATGAAAACTTACTTTTTTAGGACCTAAACACAGCTTTTTTTTATTCAAATTTTTTTTTCCATATATTAATTGATATTATATCGCAAAAGTAACCTTATTTTCAATCGAAAAATCTCCCGTCAAAAAAGTTGACTTTTAAATAAGTTGGGTGCGCTTTTTGTATTGTGGAATTTCTTCTTTACAAAAACTGTACATTACTATGGAAAATTTTGTCAGAAAATACAAATGCGTCGTCACGATTCTCGGCCTTTTAAGGAGAAACACGGTTTATCGCAGTTTTCGGGAAAATTACAACTCCTATCACAAAAAAATCAATGGCAAAATTGTAAATAATTAAAAGATCTATAACTAATAGTTTCACATTTACTTACTTTTATCGACTATTGTTTTTTTATTAAAAACTTACTAAAAACGTGCAAGTTTTTTTTTATATTTTCATGTATACAATTTTGCGACTGAAAATTTATATAAAATTTGTATTGAAAAGTTGTAGATAGTTTCATTACCTACAATTTTGCTATTGATAATTTTTGGATATGTTGTACACACCTAAAATTAAGTGTGATTTATCTGTAGTCTTCTGTAACGTTGAGGTTACTTCCCCTGACTAGTGCTGCAAATCGAGCAGTTTGTGCCAAGGTGCCTTCTGTATGTATTATAATAATACATGAGTTACATACTTTGGAGGATCGATGCGCCCGCTATCCATGTTCCTTTGCCACACAACACCTATTCCCCCAACGTCTATGGTTCCCTTCACTGCTACTAAAGCCATCGCTCCAAACATGGCGGTTATCTGGATCACGTCAGTCCACACGACCGCTTGTAAACCACCCTAAAAAAATAAATATATTGCGACTTTATTGTATTATGTTTATTTTATAACTGCTGATGAATATTTTACTGGAAAATTTACTCGGTTCAGGTATCAGGCAAGATCGATGCAGGTGCAGGTGTCCTGCCTGACATCAGGGCCGAGTAGAATATTTTCAAGCGAACTTTTCTTTTACACAAAATCTCTAGATTTAATTTTATTCCCACCATTTATGTCTATATTACCAAAAATAAATGGTGGCAATAAAATTAAAGTTCAATATTACAAAAACAAGGACGTCCAGATGCAGGGCAGGTTACCATCCTCTCTTGGTTGCTGTTCTTACCCTTTGCAAGAAACTCTTGTCAAATACTTTTATAGTACGTTGTACAGCGAAGGAGTGGAATTTCCTGCCTGAGCCTGCGTCTATGTAATCTGACTGTTTTTAAAGCCAGTGTGAATAATCTCGTTCTGAAGCTCGCTATACTGTAGATCCTATCTCTGCTCTCGGACTAGATAGAGATATCTAAAGGATAAGCTTTGGTATATCTATCTAAACCGGTTGACAAATGAAAAAAATACAATTACGTGTCTAAAAAAAACTCATACTAGCGCAGCGGCCACCCGCGACTTCGTACGCGTTAACTTTAGTTTTTTTTACAATCCCCCAGGCACCTTACATTTTTCGGGATAAAAAGTATCATGTGCCTCAATTCAGGTCATAAACTATAGCCCCCTTATTAATAAACAAGGAATAAGCTTAGACTAGTTTCGCCGTGTTTTGTTCATGTCACTCAAATGCCATTTGTCATTCAATAGACAGAGACAAAACATGGATTAACTAATGCATGCGTAGTCTTAGTTTTTTAATAAGGGGGTAGGCGTTCCAAATCCGTTTAGTAATTTTTGCGTGATCGAGTAATAAACATATAAACTTTCACATTTATAATATTACTAGAATGTCAAATACTCACGGCGCTAGTATAGAAGATACAAACGAGGCAAACTATTGGTGTGATAACGTGGATATTTACGCCGGTAACTGAAAACAAAAGGCTCATTAAATAATAAATTAGTAGATTTCAATGAACAGATAAAGAAAATCCAAGAAAACTAATTATTGACATGAACACTTAATGTTACTACGCACTACCTAAGTACTCGTATACCTAATAAACGATATCTATAATACAAACCTGAAATCGAATGCAAATATTCGTAATTGTAAACAAAGTACCCAATAATTTAAAATCTTTCGAGTTAAATTAGTTTTTGAAACATTATACGGAAAAACGAACATTAAGTCATAGTCTTTGTAGTGTTTTGTAGAATCAAGATTAAACAGAAAGAGATGATATAGTGGAAATTTGGTTACCTTGATTAAACGCCAAAGCCGGTACATATATTACGATTGGGAGCCAACCTATCTGGAAAATTCATTGTAAAAGTTTTATGTATATTTTAGATATAAGATTATAGGATCGCAAATAATTTCATGCCAGATTTGTGTGAGGTGTTTTGGTTAAGGAAATACCCAGTCCTTTTATTTTTTTTTAATTTCGCGGATCATCGTAGCTTAGTTAATTATCATCTAATATGCCAAAGCGCAGAAATTCAATCTGTGCCCTAGTAATTTTTTTGCGTATATAAGAGCGGCAGAAACTAACAATTGTATTTATCTTCGTGATAAACTTTAAAAGTCGCTTATAAAATCTGTGGAACTGTCAAGTTTTTCTCAAACTGACTTTTAGCTTTTGTAAGTTTCACATGCGATTGAAAATTTTAAGTTTGCGATAAACTCGTTTGTTATCGACTGTACTAATATGAAACCTATCATCACATGCAGTTTTTCTTAAAAGAACCTTCCTAACTCGGACAAATAATATCTAATATGTTTTGTGCACTAAATAATAAATGAGATTACTCACCAAAGTAAACGCGAATAGCACAGAACCGAACAATCGCACTCTATTGTCAAAACGCATGGATAAGTACTGAAAAAAATATTTATTTAATGACATGCATTCTTTCCGATATACTTAACAAAAACGCCAGCTTTATTGCCTTATATACTTAAATATATTAAAATATAATAAAACGAGCGACTAAACAAAACTTAGAGACTGATGGTGAGATACTATTACATCATTTGCTTAAAAGGTGGCTTCAATCACTTGTATAGGTACAATGTACCAATGTTACCGAAAATAAAAGTTATTATTTTACTGCTGTCGATTCTGGCATGATTTTTTAAACCTAAACTTAAATTTGACAACAATGTATCCTTATCTTTCTCTATACAGAATAATAAAAAGGAGAGACTGGTGTTAAATTCAGTTTTAAGTTTAGAAAAGGCTGTCAGACACCATTGTTTTACTAACTTCAGCGGTATGAATTTGAGTAAGCGACAAAATAACTAAACTGCGGACGAACATTGATTAATAATAAAATCCATATCGAACTTACAAAATATGGGCAGCAATAAATCCGTTTTGCACACAAAAATACTAAGAGTGCGACTGAATTAATAAGTCAGCGCCTCAAAATGTAGACCAGGCAACTTTAATATTAAAATAGAGATAATATTTTCGACACGATAATTGAAGTTTCACGTAACTAACGCCTATAAAGTTTATTTGATACCCGTTTTGTGAGCTGTTTTATTAATAGGAACTCGATGGCGCAAGTAGTTAGCGCGTTCGGCTGCGATCGTTGAAGTTAAGCAACTTTCGCAGTGGGCGGTCATTGGATTGGTGACCAAAAATTTACTATCTCGAGCTCCTCCGTTCTTCGGAAGGCACGTTAAGTCGTTGGTCCCGGCTGTGATAGTGATTTCTCGAATTGTTATTTCAAATAAATTAAGGAAAAGTACTCTGCTCATTTTAGTATTTTTCAAAGAGGTTTTTGTATTGGAGACAATTCATTAAGATAAAATACCGCCCGTTATAAATAGCAGCATTTGCAAAATATTTTAAGTCAGTCGCTCACTTAGTAAAATTGTAAGCCGAATTCAATATTTGTTTCACTTATTTAATTTACAGTCATTCGTTTAAATAGTACCCTATATTAAATATCTATCGAAGTAGGTTACATTTTCCAACATGGTATATAGCCGGAAATTTTAACCTACTGGTTTAAATAATGCACTGAAATTCATTTCCCTATTGTTTCGGACAACATCAACCATATCCCTCTATCGACTAATTAGAAATTGCATTTCCAATAATTAGAAAATTCATTTCTAATTCGTTGCTGTATTTCTATATATTACGTAGTACCTATACTATAGTACCTATAGGTACAGTAGGGCAATTCTGTAAAATAAAATCTCACTTCCGGTTTCGGTAGCTGCCATTTTAGACATTACTTTGATATGCATTACGCCATTACACGGCAAAATATCGCTATGTCTGTAGAAACGACCAGTACTAGATATTTGACATTTGTCAGAAATCCGAATAAATGAGATTGTAAATGAGATCGCATCTTACAGAATACCTATATGCAGGTCAGTCACATATCAAGTTACCACAAAATGAAAAATTCTCTCAATAGGGATGATGACTATATAATTTTTTTTTCTTCGTTTATCAGGTAGATTATTAAAAGTATTAGACAAGTATTTTTTCTTTTTTCACATAATATAAACATTGCAGAGATATATTGATTTGAAAAGTCGCATGACGTCACGTTTTGGTACAGTTTTCACTTAAAAGTGACGTCACGAGCCCCTACTCCCAAACTTTGACGCGCTATAACTTTGTCTTCTTTTGGTTGATTGCCCAAAGAAAAAATATGTGTCCATTATTTTTTGATCATCTAACTGACGGACTAAATAGAACTTCGTTTACTGTACCCCGTCATCACCCCTATTACTTACGATTTGTAAGTAAAGCAAAACTAATACTCAGGAAGATTTTAGAGAATTTGAGTACTTGGTATGTGGCTGTTTAAGAACGTGAAAATACACACATCAAAAGTGTCTAGGGATCAAGCATTTTTATGCGGATTTCTTGAGATTGAGATGTGGCTTTGTAATAAATTTATGATTTTATAAATTTATATGGATCCTTTTTGGTGCATTTCATAATTTGAATCAGGAACTGTGAATCAAATTCGAGTAAAAGATGAAAATCAGCTGTCAATATTTTCCCTATAAAAACATACAACGCATTGAAGACATTATTAGTGCTACTGTTTCCCTACTACTGATTAAAACCAACGTTATTATGGAGCGGCGACGTCATTTAAGCAGGGAAGAAATGCTCAGAGCCGTGGGAATGATAGAAGCTGGTTCCCGGCAACGTACTGTGGCTTTAGCTCTGAATACAAGTCAGAGTGTTATCAGTCGACTTTGGACACGATACCGAAGCACTGGTACCGTGGCTGAGCGCCATGGAGGACGGTATCGCTGCACCACACGGAGACAAGACCGATACATTCAAATCTTAACTCGAAGAGCTCCAACAATAACCGCCATGATGTTAGCCGTGAGGCTTCATCACTCTTCAGGGAACTTAATTAGCGACCAAACAGTCAGAAACCGCTTGCATGAAGTGAACCTTCATTCCCGAAGACCGCTACGGGTACCACCTATAGCAATGCACAATCGTAGGATTCGATATCAATGGGCTCTTGAACACAGAAATTGGGCAGAAGAACAATGGCGTTTCGTGTGCTTTTCTGATGAGTCTCGTTTTGGTATGAGACCGGATACAAGACGTATACGACACTGGAGAACCCCTGGACGCCAACAGCGATTAAAATCCTGCCAGGAAGTCCATCCTTATAGTGGTGGAACCATCATGGTATGGGCGGGTATTTGGATCGGCGGAAGAACTGAGTTGATTTGGATCAGAGGCAACCTCAACGCTCAAATTTATGCTGAGACGATTGTATCAGACGTCATCGTTCCTCTACAAGTGCAAATCGGTCCCTTATTTCAGTTAATGCATGATAATGCACGACCGCACACCGCAAGAGTTGTAAGACAGACTCTCGCCGCAGCTAACATCAATGTTAGCAGCTAACATCCCTGGCCTGCTCAGTCGCCAGACTTGAACCCGATTGAGCATGCATGGGATATGCTACAGAGAAGAGCTCTGCCGAATATGGAGGGTATCCAGTCGCGAGAAGACCTTTTTTTGTTGTTGCAACGAACATGGGCGGCCATTCCACAGCGTGATTTGGATGAACTCATTTTGAGTATGCCAAACCGATGTTCTTGTGTTGTTAGTGTTCGCGGTAGAAATACGGATTATTAATTGTTTAAGTTACCCAATAAAATTTTAGAGAAAACTGTTATTTCAGTCTTTTTTTCGAACTTTTGTGTTAGTGGTTCAAATGTCAAAAATCCCTTTATTAGGAAAATGGCAAATTTCTTTATTAATGCAAAGGTGACTTGGTTTATCGTTACTGTGACAAACGAAAACACTTTATTTGATGAATCCTTAAAGAAAATTTTAATTAATATCAATCAGGAGAAAAGTTATTGCAAAAATATATGTTGATCCCTAGACACTTTTGATGTGTGTATAATAGAACTTAATACTAACATTCTCATAGCACAGCTCATAAAGAACATGAGGAACTAATAAAAAATGTTGTTTCATTTATCAATGTTTTCCATTTTACCTCATAATTGGAAGTTATTTTGAGCTCATGGAAGACGGGAAGGTAGACTTGTGCCATGACGAAGGACATCAGAAATATGCCACCCATTATGAACACGTATTGGGTACCGTATATATACACCTCCGTAGGGGAACCCAACAGGGTTATTCCGGAGACGAAACTGGAGAAATGTGAAATTTTTATATTAATATGAGGAGGCTTCTTTTTCGAATCGGGTTACTCTCTATCTTATTTAAGTTCGGTTAATTTAAGGTACCAAATATAAAAATATTTATTTTCATTTACATGCAATGGTTCAGAGATTATTTACCTACAAGCAACATTAGAAGAATTATTAATATTAGAGAGAATCCCAACAAATTTATAACTTTTAAAGGAAAAGTTTTGATTCTATCAAAAAAGCAAAGCGTCATGGTTTTTTTAGACTTAAAAGTAATAACACTATGACTAATATACATATACAAATTTTTTTTTTCATATTATTACCACAATAATATGATGTTCAAGAGACAAAAAAACCATATAAAACCGGTCAAGTGCGAGTCGGACTTGCGCACCGAGGGTTCCGTACAAACCTGTAGGTTATATTAATGTCATGATAATTATAAAAAAAATTACATGTAACTAAAAATTTTCTATTTTCTCAATGTTTTCAAATTTCAAGATTCTGTGTTCACGGGAAATACCCTGTACGTTTTTATTCCCTTGCGAGTTTCGAAAATTTGCGGCATAAACAACTGTATCTTTTGATTGCGTTAGCTTAGAAGTTTGTTTTTTTTTCACAGCTCCAAGGGCAGTAGAGGTCTAGTATTTAATATAAATTTCTGCTTTATACATCCATGCATTCCTGAGAAAAGGGGTCTTGACAGACGGACAGACTACAAAGTGATCCTATAAGGGTTCCGTTTTTGCCTTTCGAGGTACGGAACCCTAAAAACTAAATTTTCAACTGCGATTCATCCTTGAAAATGATTTATTATTTACATTTACTTATTTAGCGATTGTTTACCTAATGAATGAGTGAACATTCCAGCCCCAACATAACCTGGCCTAATTATTATTTTATGTTGTTTCGCAGCAGAAGCTACTAGATATAGGAATTAAACACTTTGCTAATTCAATATTTGATTCAGCCAAAATAACTTAAAACGCTCCTGTCTTGAAGTAATAACTTTAAACTTGTGCCACAGAGCGTCTCTAACAAGATTAGTACTCGAGAAAAACCTTTGAGCAACTCAGATATCATAATTTTTAAATATTTTTTTTATCGGGTATAAAGCGCGATTCATAAACTTTTTTAATTATTCCTGGCGTTAAATGATTGAGATGGGTGTGAAAAAATAGGAAAGAAATATAAAAAAATCCAAGTTGTGTATTTTAAGTCACTCACCTTGCCACCAAGGACATGGATACAGGCACTACCTTCATATTTCTGCCGCCGAGCAAATAATCATTTTGAGTAGTTTGCTTCTTCATGAAACCCCAGTACACCCCAACCACCGCACTTATAGCCAACATCAACATAAACACCACATAATCCACCCACGAGAACCGTTGCATATGCAACACCATGTCGTTTACTTCACCCATCATCACCCCCATATTAAAAAATTATAACGACCTGCCTTATATCATAACTGTATATCAGGCACCCAATGTTCAAATGGCGCATGGCCACGAAGCCACCTCAATCTGTTACAATGAAACAATTACGATAACTCGCAATTTAAAAGAGGATGTTGCGAGATCCCCCTCATTGGCTCTTACGAATCGGGAACTGGCTAATACTTGGATGCTTCAAAAATATTGTTGTTTTTAAAAGTTCGTTTTAAATTATATTTTTATATAACAATTTAATAATAATAACCGTCAGCTAGATAAACCTTCCTTTTTATAGTAGTCTAGGAAATGAAGCATTTTGGCAAGCAAGTTTATCGTCTTACATGGATTTACTTAAAATTTTCGTAGCAGATATATTTCATGCTTTTGTCCTGGTGGTGGTTGCCACCCGATTTTGGGGGTGCAATTGCATTTTTATTATTACTTTTAACACACTTTTATTAGGTCCACTTGTATGTAATTATGTAATGAAATCTAAGAATCTGAATAACATGCACTTCTAATTCTTGTATCATCATGAAACTTGGCAATTATAATGTAAATTAGATGACAACACAATATTATGGTATCATCGAGCTGGTCTGATGATGGGACTGGAAAGTGGCTGATGGAACCTTTGACTGCCTACTAGTAAACATATCGAGTTTGGGCTCATTAGATTTGCCTTAACATATTCTATTAATTTTTCCTGATGACGAGGACTTGACGATGGACTGGAAGGTGACTGATGGACCCTGGACTGCCTACTAGTAAACAAATCGACTTTGTGCTCATTACATTCGTCTGCATATATTCGGTTTTTACAAAAACGCTTTTATTTTTTAACACGCTTTTATTAGGTCGTAACTATGTAATGAAATGTAAGGTAACTAATTTAACTTTCTTTCAAGGATCATAGCGTAGCGAAAATTGGCAGCTGTATGTAGTTCTGATGACAATACAATAATATGGTACTGTCGAACTGATCTGATGATGGAGCTGGTAGATATGAACTGGAATTTCATGATGGAACATCGTATCATAGCTGTTTTTGGATTTATTAGAAAAGTCTTGTAATGAACTTTGATCACTATTAGATTTCAAGATCTGATGATGAAGCCGGAAGATAGGCACTGGCATTCCATGATGGAAGATCGTATCATAGTCGTATTTGAACTTGTGAGAAAGGCCACGTAATGGACTTTGAACACGATCAGGTTTGAAGGTTATAACAAATCTATTATATATTGACTTGTAAATATTGAGTGTAAATAGTGTAAATATTTTTCTAGTCTTTTTTAAACTCCTAGCTGGGCAGGCATATGTGACCCTGAGTGGAGTAAAATCACTTAGTGGTCTCCAGATTGAAGAGCTAGATTTTTCTAAACTGACAGGTAAAACACCATGCAATACAGACGCACTGGCGGAGATGCAGAGGATGCGGGCTCATTCGCCTACTGAATAAATGTTATAAATATTTCGTTATTTAAGATTAAACAGTATTAAATAAACTAATAGTTTAAAAAAAACTAGAGAATCACGCTTTTATAAATTCACGTAAAAACCAAAAATAAATTGAAGATCGTTCAAGTTGTCGTTATTTCTGGGCTAAGTGTAAACTATGTGCTCTTAATTATTATATTTGATTGTAAAGGCGTGGGGCGCTGGAAAAGGAAAGCCTTTTTGTAAAGGGTCTTTCAACAAGGACGGGTCGATGTTAAAATTAAATAAAACAAGCTGTATGTGAGATATTAAAGAAATTATTTTTTTATTTTAAAGGCCCATGCTATGCTATTATTTATGAAATATGTCATCGTTTAAATGTCCACCGCGGCTTCAAACGGCGGCACGGATCCGAGAGGTCCAATTTTCAATTACTCTACTGCATAGATCCGGTTGAATCTGAGCGATGACCTGCGTTATGTTGACTTTCAGTGCATCGGTTGATTGCGGATTATTAGCATAGACCTGCGACTTGAGAAAACCCCACAAGAAAAAGTTTAGCGGGGACAAATCGCACGATCTTGGTGGCCAATTCACGTCACCTTGCGAGAAATAACCCTACCCTCGAACCGTTCATGCAGAATGTCTATTGTGTCGCTCGCTGAGTGGCACGTAGCGCGGTCTTGTTGGAACCACACGTTGTTCACGTCTATATTGTTCAATTCAGGCCAAAAGAAATCGTTAATTATTGATCTCTAGCTCTCGCCGTTGACAGTAATGGCCACGCCATCATCGTTTTCGAAGAAGTACGGACCAATGACGCCGCCGGACCAAAATCCGCACCAAACAGTAACTTTTTGTGGATGCATTACCACCTGGTGAACCTCATATGGGTTGTGGTCGTCCCACATACGGTAAGTTTGCTTGTTAACAAAACAATTCATCCAAAAATGCGCCTCGTCGCTAAAGATGATTTTTCGGCCAAAATCAGGGTCCTCTTCCAAACGTTCTGTAGCCCAATCAGCGAACAAACGGCGTTGTCTATGGTCATTCACTTTGAGCTCCTGGGTTAGTTAGATCTTGTTCGGGTGTAGGCCCAAGTCCCGAAGCAAAATTCGCCAAGTTGAAGTCTGCGAAAGCCGAGTTCTTGTGTACGGCGAGAAATCGACTGCCTCGGAGTCTCCTGCACACTCTCACGGACAGCGGCGATGTTCTCGGACGATCTGGAGTTCTTTTGACGTAAGGGTGTTGGTTGGTTGTTTACCGAACCAGTCGTCTCGAATTTGGTCACCAAACTATGGAGAGTCGACTTTGAAGGGCCACCGCGTCTGCCGTAAAATGGACGTAATGCGCGCAACATTTGCCCTAACGAACACTTATTTTGATAATAAAGTTTTATCATTTGGACGCGCTGCTCAATCGTGTAATTTGCCATGGTGATTTAGCATCAGTAACTGAAGAAATAACAACACATTTGACAGATGCCGCCAAAACAACATGGCCAGCACAAACTGTCAACATCGACCCCCATTATTTGAAAGACCCTTTATAACTTGCTGAAAAATCAAGTTATGCGATTTTACGGGAAGCAGGTTACACAGATTGGCGCTTGTACGACTAGTATTCCCTTAGATATTCTATTAAATGTTGAATATCGCATTACTAATATCTTTATTTCTCAGCAAATTATACAAAAAGTCTTTCCTGTTCCAGCGCCTCACGCTTTTACAATCAAATATTACAATACAAATAAGAGCACATAGTTTTATACTTAGCCCAGAAATAGCGACAACTTGAACGATCTATAATTTATTTTTGGTTTTTACGTGCATTAATTTATCTATAAATTTTTAACTACAGAAATCGATAAAAAAATTATTCGCTATTGAAGGTAATAGTTTTTCGACAAAAAAATCGACCTTTTTAATGGTTTTTTCACGAATAACTCCAAAAATGTCCATTTTATAAAAAAAACGGTAGAAAGGAAAATTGTAGCTTTGAGTCATTTGTGTAATGGTTAGTGTTCGGTTTTTTTCAGCGCATTTGTAGGTTTTTCGTCATCGTGGATACGTTAAAAATTCTAGTAATTATGGAGTACGGCACGCAACATTAACGACGTATACGGAGGGAACACTACAACGATCGCACCACCCGTAATGGTTTTCCCGCTTCCATTCTGGAAATTTCGAGCTAAGAAATGGACCCCATGGTCGATCGAAAACTTTAGTCGACAATGTCGAATTAAAAAGGATTGTGGAAGCTGATTTTCAATCTACAGCTGAATTAGCAGCAGCTTTCGATGTTAGCATCAAAACAATTTTGGTCAATTTGCGAAATATAAAAATAAAAGGGCTTATTTCTTGAAAAACGGCAATTTCGTAGGTGAAGATCTAATACTTTCCCAACTTAGACTGGAGTAGAATCCAGCCACCTTCACGCTGAACTTTGAAAGTGTGATAGTGGGAAGGTCGGAAAAGAAATCTCTCCAATTTAACACTGACTGGAGTGAATGTTACGGTGAGTCAGCTGCGCTTTTCAGCATAGAAATTCCGAGAAGCAGTAAAACTATGTCTTTTAAACATCACACTATCACACTAAAGGCGAAAGTTTGTGAGTGTGTGTATGTTTGTTACTTCTTCACGTCTAAACGGCTGGAGCGATTTTAATAAAATTTGATATGGAGTTAACTGACACCCTAGATTAACGCATAGGCTACGTTTTACTGTGGGAATATCCCTAATAAACCGCGGGTAACATCGCGGTACACAGCTAGTCTAAAATAAAATGCCGTTATTTTTTCTAGAATACTGTTTATTTTCCTTCACAGATCTAATAATAATAAACAAAGGAACTATTATTACAAATTTCTGCCAGTCGCATTGTAACTGTGAGTTCAAAAAGAAATGCATACGTACTACAGTTTGTATACCACTTTATTATTTTTATGACGTAATTCACATTCCTTTCATTTAAAATGCTATGTTAATCAGCAAAAAATAATCCTTATGATTAACCCTTTCGATGGTTATCATAAAATATGCCGAGTTTTTTTTTTTCGAAGTTTCACGAGTTTGATTCCTAGTTGTAGCAGGCGATTTTAAAAAATCTGTGAATGCAGTTCTAGTTATTATTAAAAATAAAATGATGTCTTCTTTCAGTAAAATGTCCTATATTCAATATTTAATATACTTTCCCTCCGTGTGAGGTAGCCGTGGGACGCCCTGTATACCTACACTTTTCCTTACACGTTACATACAATACGTTTTAATTTCTCTTCGTTTCCTGTAAGTACTGGTTTAATTAAATAAGACAAACATCCGGGCGAGCTGTTCTCAGCAGGTCAGAAAATCATAACACAAAAGATAACTAAACAAAGTTTTTTTTTCTATGTTTTAGGTGAGCCTGAATCACTTAAATTTTGCGGACAACACTATATACAGACGAACACGAACCACGTTTTTATTAAGGTGGTTCGTGTTGAACCACGTTTAAGATTCCAAAGGTGTATATAGTAAGCTATCAAACACAAAAGCAAAAAAACCAAAATTTTATTTTTCAGCAGGCCTGTCTGTGGCTCTGCAATACAGAATGGGTTTCTTCTAAAAAGGTGTGAAGAAAGTTTGCATATGACATTCCTGATCAGGTGCATATTTACCTGTTGTTGAAGACGGTCATGGGGGCCTAGTGATATTGTTTTAGTAATTGCGTGATTGCTACCAATTTACCCCTAATTAGTAGCAATACCCAAAATTAAGACCCGAAATTAAGAGTATTAAGTATCGTTTACTTAATACTCTAGATACAACAACACGAAGAAAATCGTGACTAAAACCTGTCCAAAAGGTACATCGGACGATCCACGGAGCTCCGACGGATATTCGCGTTGTCAAAAACGATATATGTCATTATTTAAACATTCAAAATTAATCACCTTTAATCCAAAATATATAAGGTCTTAATTTAAACGCATGCGTCAAACAGTTACGACCGTTCCAAATGCAAGCTCGTATAATTTTACTTCTTGCTATAGGCGGAAGAATATAGACTTTATTTCTTTGACTCTACGCGTAATTCTGAATACGCGGCCATGCATTTGAATATCACAAATATTTTCTATTAAATCAGTTTATAGTAAGTATTAGAACAAAATTTTCATCAAATGCGTTAAATTAACAGACGTTGAATAGGTACCTGGCGAAAAAACTATACTCTACGTAATATAAGTATTTTTTTTTTTGCATTATTTCACGGAGCTCTGCGGCATGATGACTTTTCAACGGTCCGCGCGTGACTGACGTTTGTTATTGTTATGTGAACCAAGAAGCAGTTTCGAGCAAACTGAAGTCGGGCAACACGGTCACGGATACGGTAGTCATGGAGTAATTTAGGGTCCCGGGCTGGGCGGTAACTCCTGATATGGGTAGCAAAAAGCCTTCCTGACGGTCCACATAACTTCTTCTCATCTTACTTCTTCAATGCTCTTCTTCAGGTCTACACTTGACGCCTTACAATTTAGCAACGCCTGACTTACCAAAAGCCGTCATCCCTTGGTTTTGTGCATCGTGTTCTTCCCGAACCGGGTCTTCTTTTGACCAAACCGGTCTCTTGATACCGTTGCCAAGTCCTCTGGACAGTTGAATGACTCACATTTAGCCGCTGAAACACAAAAGTTTGCGAACAACCTTCTTCAAGTAGGGCTATAATTTTACTCGGCCCCTATCGCTTTATCACTAATAGCAGAAAGTGTTCAAATTGAGCCATTAATCAAGCAATTTTACAAAATGCACAGTAATATATATATATTTGTTAATATAAAATTTTTTTATTTCGAACGTATATTAATATAATCACGCCAGGATGCTTCAAATAACATGCCAATACATCGTCATTTGAATTAAACTCTTGCTTGTAATATTCATTAAAGTAGAGAAAAAAAGCTAAAGTGCCCGTTTTTTTCCAAAGCAGTTAATACCCGTTATCAATATAATATCCTAGTAGATTTTGGTCAAGCAAGATAGTCGTAATTTTAACATCTGAGCCATTTGAACTGCTTAAAAGGTATTATCTTTACCAGTCACATAAAAGTACTTTTAAAATTAAAACTTCTATTGATACACTGGCGTCGATTCTGGCGTGACTCTCTAAACTTAAAACTAAATTTAACATCAGTCTCTCCTTTTCATTCTGTACAGAGAATGACAATGATACACTGTTGTCAAATTAAGTTTTAGCGTTAGAGAAACATGCCCGAATCGACACCACTACCTAACTAAACTTACTCATACTCATCACCTAAACTTAAATTTGACAACTAGGGTGTCGATTCTAGCATGATTCTCTAAACCTAAACTTGAATTTGACAACAGTGTATCTTCGTCATTCTCTATACAGAGTGAAAAAGAGAGACTGATGTTAAAGGACATTGGGCAAAAATGTATGGACCCACGTCCGCCACGGTTTAAACTACATTTGTTTGAAAGGTATTAAAGTCATGATCATATGTGCCAAAACGCAACAAATTCCATCCCGGGGGTCTTTAGCAATTTTAAGTTAAATAGGTACAAGTACTATAACGAACGAACATTAATGAAACAAGGGAATTAATTAAGCTAGTTAGTTCGACCCTACATAGGGTGCTCAGGAACTATGGGAGTACTTCTCAAGGTGCAAAGGTGCCCCCTTATGTTATTCTGTCGCGCTAGAGTAAATCCAAAAATCCCCGCTTGGGTTGGGTTTTTTTAAACATTCTGTTCGATAAAGTAAATTGTCTTCTATGTAAAACGGAGCGACCACAGATTACACAAACTTGTCCACGCTTCGGAGGAAACCTGATTCCAGTTCATCCATACTAACTGACAAAACCGATAATCGTATACCAATATCCAAAGCGTGTAAGATAAAAATCAATCAAGTAGCAGGGAGCGCATAATCACAAGGAAGTAAGACGACTCGTCTATTTGCAACTGCAAGTCCTTCAGCATCCGTAAACCGTTTTGAAATGTCTCAGTAAGAGCAAGCGCAGGATGGTCGACAGGCTTTGTCGTATATCTGGTTGTATAGTACGATATGACATATTATTATGATTACTAATAATATAAAATGAAGATACTATAAAATGAATTTATTCAGCTACTTAAATATGTCCATGTGTCATATCTATTGACTACCAGGATATTTTTTACTGTGTCATATCTTTTGACTCCCAGGATATTTATTTTCGGTGTCATAATAAAAAAGGCTAGTTTTTCATAGATCTATCGATTCATACTAATTACATTGTTGGCGGAGCTGGGTGCGTTTTGCCCATTGTCCTTTAGCTTTAAGTTTAGAAAATCAGGCCGGAATCGACACCAATGTATCCTAATCATTCAGGTATCATTTTACACATTTAAACAAGTAGTTTCCCTTCTATGATTTTTTAAAACTTTAAAACGCGATATCTCAAAACACTGTTTTTGAAGATATACCCTATTGTTTGTGACGTGCGATATTATGTATTTATATATAATTAAATACATACATATTATAATAAATTAATTATGTATTTATGAATATTTTTTTATTCATTTTAAAAATAATACATTTTTTAATTTTGGTTCTAGGTTTTAAAGCAACATTACTCATCGGATCAGACTGATCGGCCTTTTCTATTATCTGTAATCTGTGGACTAGCCGAAACCGGCCGGTGACACCGGTGGCATGTCTGTGGCTCTGTGCTCTGCCGTTCCTTCATCTGTGTTTGTTTACTAACATGCAATCTTTCAAGAAAAATCTGTATTTTTAATAAAAAAATCTCAAAGAATGGAATTATTGTCTTTTGCCGACTTTATTGAATTTTCAAGAAGAATTCAGGATCAGGGCCTAAGAAGATATTTACGCGATTACTCGGATCCTTTTAGAAAATATACAATGCAGGAATTCATCTCAAGGTATAGATTTACTCCAGCAACCGCAAAAAATGTATTGGTTCCTTTGCTAGAACCTCATTTGAGAAAAGCCTCAAGAAGGGGGTTACCATTTCCTCCTGAAATCATGCTTTTAGCGGCGTTACGTTATTATGCTACAGGGAGCTTTAGGGTTAGTTCAATCAACCTTTTTTAAATTTTCCTTTTATCTTAATATCTGGTAAAAAACAAAGTTGCTTCAAATGTGTAGGGTGATGTCAGGCATTGTTAATGTTATGCTTTTAACAATTGAATTAAAACAAGCTCTGCAGTCTGCATAGCTGAATATTATTTTTATTATTTGATTTAATTTGCAGAAATTAGAAGGAGATTGTTTAAATATTTGTCAGCAATCAATGTCTCGAATTGTATCCATTGTTTCAATGATTTTTGCAAACCAAATGAAACGTTTTGTCAAACTTCCATTAATGTCAGAGTTGTCCAAAGTTAAGTAAGTACTAAATTTCTTTTCTGAATTATTATCAAAACTTATTGTCTAATGTCAAGTAGCATCATTTGTAATTTTTTTTTTCAGAAATAAATTTTTTGAGATTGGCTGTTTCCCTAGTGTCATAGGTTGTATAGGTTGCATACACATAAAAATTAAGAGCCCTGGTGGTCTTTCAGCAGAAGTCTACCGAAATAGAAAAGGTTGGTTTTCAGTAAATGTTCAAGCAGTGACTGGACCAAATTTGCAATTTTTTGACTTGGTTGTACGTTGGCCTGGAAGTTGCCACAACAGTTTCATTTTTAACAATAGTAGAATAAACCAACGTCTGCATTCAGGTGAACTACAAGGTATTTTGTTAGGAGACAATGGGTTAGTACTATCGCCTGAGTAATACATGAAACAAAGAATTCTGTAGACCCTTATTTGTATTATATTTTTTTTAATTACAGGTATGCAGTAAGCCCTATCTTAATGACACCTTACCTTGCACCCAGTAACCCAACCCAGGAGAAATATAATAAAAGTCATATTAAAACTAGGAATTCAATTGACCATGCATTCAAAGTTTGGAAGCATAGATTTCCTTGCCTTCAGGTACTACAACTTTTAAAGATATCATAATTGTACTTTGACCTACCAATCCAACCAAAAAATAAAAACTAAATATTCAAGAAAATTTTACTTGATAAAATTCCATATGGACAATGTGGCAGATGGGCCTCGAACCCGCACCCTCTACAAGAGGATATTCAGCTAGCATTTAAATGCTTAAAATATATAACTAAATATTATTTCAGGTCGGAATGGCAATAAAATTGCAAACAACTGTCTCAGTGATATGTGCCTGTGCTGCTCTGCATAATATTGCAATATCTTGCAATGATGGAGCAGTTTTATTGCTTCATGAAGAGGTGGACAGTTCAGAAATGCCAGAATGTGAAGTTATTCCAGAAAATATTAATAGCAATGGATTTATTGCCAGAGACGATTTAGCTCAAAAATCCTTTTCCTCAGTAGTATAAGAGAATAATTTGTAGTAGGAGGTAGTCATTTGCTCTTTTTTTAATAATGCCAAGTTAATACTGTTTCATTTTCATTTATCTGGAAAATTCACACTAATAGTTATGTGCTATTATGTAGTAATCTTTTGCTTAAATCAACAAACAACCCTCTCTATGCATTGTGCAGTGGGGAAAAACAGCCCAGACGCTTGTTTTAAAATGCAACCTATCTTCTACTTCCAGCATCATTTCAGTGTTTATTTCTTTTGGAATATTTCATTTGTCACTCACATTGTATGTGAATCATGATAGCCAGCTACCCATTACAAGAAGGTTCTAGTCTGAGAGGTGATTGTGTAAAAGTCCTATGGATCAGATACATGAATATTTTTTGGGGTATGAACAATAAAGTCATAGGTCTAGACTCTAGAGGTACTAGGACTTAGTTAAGTTGACAGTCAGACAGTCAGATCCGGGCAAATAAAAGGTGTCGACCAATTTTATTCAGTCATTTGAGAGGTTCTAGTTTCAAAAAATCGTAAACAAATCCATGTATTCGATGGCTTAAGATAAATTATAATATATATATATTTTTAGTGGTGTACTCAGGGTAGCTAATAAATAGAGCTTGTCGACCTTGACATCTCTATTCTACTCATCAAAAACTTCGTTTGACATACATTTTCTTGATATACTCATCATTACCGCTTTCGTAATCACCTTTCTTTCTTTTTCGCCTTCACTCATCATCTTTTTGAAAGAATTTAGAGTAAAGTAGTTTTAACTTTATTTGCATAGGTATTAACAAATATTTAAATGAGAATAAAAACAAACAACACATTCTTTTCATATTCAAATAAATACCTATTAAAAAACGAAAAACAACCTTTTTTAGAAATGAATAAATCGCCTCTGTTGTATATCTCTCACTCGGCCTGTTCGGCCTACTCAGCATGGGCGTACACAGGTAGGGGCAGCTGCCCCCCCCCCCCCCCCCCCCCAGAAGATTAAAAAACGTCAATTTTCCTGGCAAGTGGGAAGTAAAAACGTGTTACCTACTCTGCGCAAAATGAAGTGTTGGAAACAAAACATCTTTTCAGTCAGATATTTTGATTTAATTTTGAAGTTATACTTCTTTAGCCGCGTTATGAAAAAATTGTGAGAGTGAAATTTTCATCACTGTAACACAAAATTTTAACATAATGAAGTTAGCCGCGGGCGCGTTATTTGTAATATTTTATTTTCCAAATGACCGTGGGGCAGATTTGAACAAAGCAAACAGGGCAGATTTGAACGGGACATTGAAATGAAATGAAATGAAATGAAATTTTTTCAGACATTTATTCAGTCTAGGCTGTTACAAGCACTTGTGAAGGTCAAGAACACAACGTGTTTTAGTTACTTACAAGTGCTAATTACATATGGACTAATAACTTAAATTCACTAGTGATTTTAATTGAATATTTTGAATATTTATTTAATTTTTCAAATTAAAACTGAACTTAATTGACTGTGTTAACTATCCTTTTCCAGTCCTCTTATTATTTTATTGTAATTATTAATTATTTGCATGCAATTAAAAAATATTTTAATGATGCTAAAGAAGTATAACTTCTCACGCGCGTACATAAGTTACACGCATCCATTTTTTTTTATCTATAATTAAATATTCTACAACATTCGATATAATAGCGACGCAATATAATTTATATCTCCCGCGAAACCGTCGTATCTCGTATTTTCCGCTCCCGACATGATAATCAGAGCCATCTAGGATTAAAGCCGAATATAATTTGGAGAAAACAACGTCTAGCGCTAGCGCTATCTAGTTACGGACGTCGACACTCGACAGTGCTTTTTCCAGTAAAGAAGAACGTTCTAGCATGGACTATTCTGGAAAGTAAAGACAGTGATAGCAAGTATGAGACAAGGATTGCAACAGAGTCGAGTATTTTCTACGTATTTCGGGAGCAAGAATATTTGAATATATAAGCGTGATCGTGAGGCAAAGCAAGGCAATTCAGTTCGAAATTTCGAATACAATTCAATTTAGTTCGGAGTTTAATACGAGCGAATATTTAATGCGCCATAATAGTGTCTTATAGTTTAGTTGCGTTTACTGCGTTTCCTGATAAAATAAGTAATGAAATGCTTCAAAAAGCGCGAGCTGTTGCAATGGATTTGAACATAGAAATTTCGGTTCCACGTCTTGCTCATAAGCAAACACATAGAAGTAATCCGCCATCTGACAATGATAACGAATATTGGCGGCGTTCTCTGATAATACCATACATTGATTCACTCATTTCATGGTTGAATATTCGATTCTCCCAAGAAAATACTCCGGCGTTTGCTTTAAGTAAGCTATATCCCTTGTATATGACCAAAACCAGCATTACAGACTTACACAAGAACGCAGAATCATTCCAAGAATTTTATAACCTGGATATCACTGGAGAACTGAACCTTTGGCATAATTTATGGATGAAGAATGCTTTATCAGATGATCAATTAAGAGATATACAAGTAGTTGATCTGTTCAACGAAGCCAATATTTTTTACCCTGCTGTCAGAAAGGCATTGATTATTTTAAGCACTATCCCATGCACCACGGCGACCGTAGAACGGTCCTTCAGTACGCTTTGAAGAGTTAAAACGTGGCTTAGAAGCACCATGGGTGAAGAAAGGCTTACGGGTTTATGTCTGATGAGCGTACATTGCAATTAATTTAAAAGAAAACAGTCAGTTTATTCAAAAGACTGTCTTAGACAAATTTTCGGCGTCAAATCCGAGAAGATTACTTTTAAATTAATATATGTGTATTATGATTATTATATATATTTAATATTTTGTTTTGTGTCATAATCAAACTAATTAATTAAAAGTCAATTTTCATGACTTTTTGTTTCAATATACCCGACCGACCATCTTCTCGAAACAGGTATGAGCTGCCCCCTCCTAGCTGAAATCCTGGGTACGCCCTTGCTACTCAGTCCCGTTTAGTACATCCAAGATTTATGGCACAACTTCATTTAGTATGGTTAGAATGAGGACGGTGTCATGTCGTCACATTATTCCTGAAATCATGGTAAGCTTATTTTAGCAATTTATGATTTATTCTTCTTTAAATAAAGTACCCATAATAATTATAACTGCTTCAATTACCTATTGAATAGAATATATCTGATGCTTTGGCAACTGAAAAATATATAAATAAATTTGAGGTCTGCTGGACTCACTACCCTCCCTACAAATTTGAACCGTCTCCTTTAGACCCTGATTAACATCCTAAAAAATACTAAACTAGTTTAGAGAATAAAACGAAAAGATGTTAAAACGCAGCTGAATGAACTTAGTATCCTTGTTTTCTAATATAAGCGAATTTAAAATAAAGTACTAAATTAGACAAGGCTGTATGGGCATTATACTCTGCCTTCCCACTTCCCTAAAAAGGACTACAAAAAAATATCTGTCAATGAGACATTTTGAGGTTATATTTATCAAAACAACTATTTCAAATCTTAATAAAATAAATTTTACTAAGAATACATTATAAGACATTTTAATAATGGCAGGCTTATTATTAAGTCCTACAGAAAAAGTATTTATTCTTCATGGTGTTCAGGTACGGTACTACACTTAGGTTATTATTTACCTTTGGGTTTGAGCTATAAATCCAAACCAAGTAAAGATTAAAGCATAAAGTATTAGTTTCTATAAAAAATAATATCACGACGATATTTAAATTAATAAATTCTTTTCTTTGATACATTCTTTAATATTCTATTTCAGGATGATTATCGTTCAGATGGACGATCAAATATAGACTACCGGCCCATGGAATTAGAAACAGATGTAGTCAGTCATGCTAGTGGCTCTGCAAGACTCCGGCTTGCCAATACGGACATACTTGTTGGTGTGAAAACAGAAATAGATGTACCAAAACCGGATAAACCTGACTGTGGAAAATTAGAATTTTTTGTTGACTGGTACGATCAGTATCTTCCTTGTAATATATATATATATACTAGCTGTCCCAGCGAACTTCGTACCGCCATAAAAAAATAGGTGTTGGTAGAAGAAGAGTAAAATTTTTTGTCCATAATAAAATTTAAGGTTGGACCACCCTTTTACATTTAGGGGGATGAAAAATAGATGTAGTCCGATCCCAGACCTACTCAATATGCATATAAATAGTAGAGTAGTTCAATTACGCACACAGTGACACGAGAATTTTATGTATTAGATTAAGATACATAAATATTTATACTTTATCATGTATGAGTAAACATTACTTTGTGCTGCATAAAGCATGTCCGTACCCCATACTTGTTTATTTTCCATTATTTATAAGAAATGGAATATTATTATTTAAAATCACAAATATTGTCTTACACTTCACTTTATTACTATAAACCATACTAAGTTTATCTGTTATTAAAATAAATGAGCACTTTAATAATAAAATTAAACTCTACAAATCATTTGACAGTTCTTCAGTGTGTGCATGCACCTATCGAAAGTTCGCTCCATAGCTACATTTGCAGTTGTTAGCACTTTACCAATACCACAAAGGGGCTCAATAATGGGTTATGGTCTAATCTCCCTGTTTAGTTAATAAGGAAGCTCTGTACCCAAGCTATAAGGACATACATAGACTGATGATGACACTTGCTTTTAAAGCACAAGCACAAGAAAAAATCTTGATAGTAAAACATTGTGTCCCAAGTGTTTCAGAATATGTTTTTTTTTTTGTAATGAAATTATAACATCTCCTTCTTATCTCTTTGTTCAATAACATAGTCAAAAATACAGAACCAGTTTTTATTTTACTTTGTTAAGAGAAACAATGATGATCACAACTGCTGTTTTACTTTTCATTAATATATTATAATTATGGCTTTTTAGTTCTGCAAATGCAACACCGGAATTCGAAGGCAGAGGAGGTGAGCAGTTAGCCAACAGTATATCAAACATGATGCAGAAAGCATATCATTCTTCACAGGCTTTTAATTTAAAACAGCTTTGTATATTTGAAGGGAAACAATGCTGGAAACTATACATTGATATATTGGTATGTGACAAAGTTTATTCTTTATTATTATTATTTTGCGTTTATTCAAATTTTAGTTTGTTTTCTCTGGGTAGGCTGACTTTCAAATGATATGTACAATACATTAAATTTTATACCTGTTTTATAACAAGGCACACAGAACCATGACTCAAGTATTTCTATGAATTCAAATTTTCGTTTTGTTAATATTATAACAAATAAAATTGCCAGTAATAGTTACTTACCAAATTTTTTTTTTTCATTTATAATATTAATTTGTCTTCGTACATATTAGATTTTAGAATGTGGAGGCAACTTATGTGATGCTGTTTCATTAGCTGTCAAGGCTGCATTATTCAACACAAGAATACCTTTTGTAAAAGCTGCACTAATGGATGGTGGCAATATTGATTTGCAATTATCTGATGACCCATATGATAGCAAACTCTTGGACGTTGGCAGTGCACCACTCTTGGTAACTTTATTTTGTAATAAATTTATTTTATTGTTTTAAACTGTTATATTAACCATCATTAATACCAAGAATAAAACCAAATTCTTACTTAATACTCAATTGCTCATGCTCACAACCCTTAAGATTACATCAAAAAGAGAAGATATAGCACTTGTTTCTCATAAGTGCACCACTTAAATTAGGTGCATGTGCATGGACATTTTAGTCACAATTTGACATCGAAACATGTTGCATGTGGACTCAATAAAACAATATTGTGAATATTCTGGGTTAAAAAGATAAATTATTTGAACAAATAACAAATTCCACAGCAACACTTTATTATTTTTTTGAAGATTACTGTTTGTCATCTATGTTATTAGCTTATATTTGCCATTTGTTATCAAGAAAAGGTCTCGCTTGCTCCTAAATAGTTGGGCCGGATATTTTTTTTATTTCATGCAAGTAAGACCGTACGGTATCTTCCTTTTTGATTAAATAAATTAACAATTTGTTCTTAACTAAACACATCAAATTATACCTGTATTCAGTCATTAGATAAGATTTCTTTGTTAATAATTTTTAGGTAACTCTTTGTAAAATAGGTGATAAATGTGTTGTTGATCCATCTGCGGAAGAGGAAAACTGCAGTGTAATATCATTGATTGTGGGCCTAACTGGTGACAGGAAGTATTATTATCCAAAAGACGCAGACAAACAGCAAAGTGTGGAAAGCAAGTGTACAACTATTGGTATGAATGGACCTGGCAGTGTGGCACCAAAAACTCTAAAAGATGCCATCAATCAGGGCATGTAAGTTATGTTCGACAATTATTACAATAATGCCAGTATCTTTGAAAGGAATGTTGACGAAATTTTTTCTATGTCTATCAGGCAGATTATCAAAAAGTATTGAATATGTAATGAAACTGAAACTAGCAGCCGACATTCTCTTGAGACAAAAATTTTTTTTTTTCAACTAAAGTATCAGAGTATCTTGGCTGAAATTACACCCACTATTTCTTCACCCTAAAAAGAAGTTCTGGGAAAAATTTCATCAATTTCGTATGTGTAGGAGATGAGATACAGCTTTTTTAAAAAATAAATAATCTTTCTCCTGAGAGAAAATATTTTTTTACAACTAAACTATTAGAGTATCTTGGCTGAAATTAGTTCCACTATTTCTTCACCCTAAAAAGAAGTTTTGAGGAAAATTTCAGCAATATCGTATGTCTAGGAGATGAGATACAGCTTTTTAAACAAAAAAAAATATTCTCCCGAGAAAATATTTTTTTACAACTAAACTATTAGAGTATCTTGGCTGAAATTACTTCCACTGTTTCTTCACCCTAAAAAGAAGTTTTGAAGAAAATTTCAGCAATTTCGTATGTCTAGGAGATGAGATACAGCTTTATAAACAAAAAAAAAATATTCTCCTGAGATTTTTTTTTTTAAAACTAAACTTTTAGAGTATCTTGGCTGAAATTACTTCCACTGTTTCTTCACCCTAAAAAGAAGTTTTGAAGAAAATTTCAGCAATATCGTATGTCTAGGAGATGAGATACAGCTTTTTAAACAAAAAAATATTCTCCCGAGAAAATATTTTTTTACAACTAAACTATTAGAGTATCTTGGCTGAAATTACTTGCACTGTTTTTTCACCCTAAAAAGAAGTTTTGAAGAAAATTTCAGCAATTTCGTATGTCTAGGAGATGAGATACAGCGTTTTAAACAAAAAGAAAATATTCTCCTGAGAAAAAAATTTTTTTGAAACTAAACTTTTGGAGTATCTTGGCTGAAATTACTTCCACTGTTTCTTCACCCTAAAAAGAAGTTTTGAAGAAAATTTCAGCAATATCGTATGTCTAGGAGATGAGATACAGCTTTTTAAACAAAAAAAAATATTCTCCCGAGAAAATATTTTTTTACAACTAAACTATTAGAGTATCTTGGCTGAAATTACTTCCACTGTTTCTTCACCCTAAAAAGAAGTTTTGAAGAAAATTTCAGCAATTTCGTATGTCTAGGAGATGAGATACAGCTTTATAAACAAAAAAACATATTCTCCTGAGAAAACATATTTTTACTACTAAACTATTACAGTATCTTGGCTGAAATTACTTCCACTGTTTCTTCACCCTAAAAAGAAGTTTTGAAGAAACTTTCAGCAATTTCGTATGTCTAGGAGATGAGATACAGCTAATTTAAACAAAAAAAGAAATATTCTCCTGAGAAAATACGTTTTTACAACTAAACTATTAGAGTATCTTGGCTGAAATTACTTCCACTATTTCTTCACCCTAAAAAGAAGTTTTGAAGAAAATTTCAGCAATATCGTATGTCTAGGAAATGAGATACAGCTTTTTAAACAAAAAAATATTCTCCCGAGAAAATATTTTTTTACAACTAAACTATTAGAGTATCTTGGCTGAAATTACTTCCACTATTTCTTTACCCTAAACAAAAGTTTTGAGGAAAATTTCAGCATGTTCGTATGTCTAGGAGATGAGATACAGCTTTTTAAACAAAAAAATATTCTCCCGAGAAAATATATTTTTACAACTAAACTATTAGAGTATCTCGGCTGAAATTACTTCCACTGTATCTTCACCCTAAAAAGAAGTTTTGAAGAAAATTTCAGCAATATCGTATGTCTAGGAAATGAGATACAGCTTTTTAAACAAAAAAATATTCTCCCGAGAAAATATATTTTTACAACTAAACTATTAGAGTATCTTGGCTGAAATTACTTGCACTGTTTTTTCACCCTAAAAAGAAGTTTTGAAGAAAATTTCAGCAATTTCGTATGTCTAGGAGATGAGATACAGCGTTTTAAACAAAAAGAAAATATTCTCCTGAGAAAAAAATTTTTTTGAAACTAAACTTTTAGAGTATCTTGGCTGAAATTACTTCCACTGTTTCTTCACCCTAAAAAGAAGTTTTGAAGAAAATTTCAGCAATATCGTATGTCTAGGAGATGAGATACAGCTTTTTAAACAAAAAAAAATATTCTCCCGAGAAAATATTTTTTTACAACTAAACTATTAGAGTATCTTGGCTGAAATTACTTCCACTGTTTCTTCACCCTAAAAAGAAGTTTTGAAGAAAATTTCAGCAATTTCGTGTGTCTAGGAGATGAGATACAGCTAATTTAAACAAAAAAAGAAATATTCTCCTGAGAAAATACGTTTTTACAACTAAACTATTAGAGTATCTTGGCTGAAATTACTTCTACTATTTCTTCACCCTAAAAAGAAGTCTTGAGGAAAATTTCAGCATGTTCGTATGTCTAGGAGATGAGATACAGGTTTTTAAAACAAAAAAAAGAAATATTCTCCTGAGAAAATAATTTTTTACAACTAAACTATAAGAGTATCTCGGCTGAAATTACTTCCACTGTATCTTCACCCTAAAAAGAAGTTTTGAAGAAAATTTCAGCAATATCGTATGTCTAGGAAATGAGATACAGCTTTTTAAACAAAAAAATATTCTCCCGAGAAAATATTTTTTTACAACTAAACTATTAGAGTATCTTGGCTGAAATTACTTCCACTATTTCTTCACCCTAAACAAAAGTTTTGAGGAAAATTTCAGCATGTTCGTATGTCTAGGAGATGAGATACAGCTTTTTAAACAAAAAAATATTCTCCCGAGAAAATATTTTTTTACAACTAAACTATTAGAGTATCTTGGCTGAAATTACTTGCACTGTTTTTTCACCCTAAAAAGAAGTTTTGAAGAAAATTTCAGCAATATCGTATGTCTAGGAAATGAGATACAGCTTTTTAAACAAAAAAATATTCTCCCGAGAAAATATTTTTTTACAACTAAACTATTAGAGTATCTTGGCTGAAATTACTTCCACTATTTCTTTACCCTAAACAAAAGTTTTGAAGAAAATTTCAGCAATATCGTATGTCTAGGAAATGAGATACAGCTTTTTAAACAAAAAAATATTCTCCCGAGAAAATATTTTTTTACAACTAAACTATTAGAGTATCTTGGCTGAAATTACTTCCACTATTTCTTTACCCTAAACAAAAGTTTTGAGGAAAATTTCAGCATGTTCGTATGTCTAGGAGATGAGATACAGCTTTTTAAACAAAAAAATATTCTCCCGAGAAAATATATTTTTACAACTAAACTATTAGAGTATCTTGGCTGAAATTACTTGCACTGTTTTTTCACCCTAAAAAGAAGTTTTGAAGAAAATTTCAGCAATTTCGTATGTCTAGGAGATGAGATACAGCGTTTTAAACAAAAAGAAAATATTCTCCTGAGAAAAAAATTTTTTTGAAACTAAACTTTTAGAGTATCTTGGCTGAAATTACTTCCACTGTTTCTTCACCCTAAAAAGAAGTTTTGAAGAAAATTTCAGCAATATCGTATGTCTAGGAGATGAGATACAGCTTTTTAAACAAAAAAAAAATATTCTCCCGAGAAAATATTTTTTTACAACTAAACTATTAGAGTATCTTGGCTGAAATTACTTCCACTGTTTCTTCACCCTAAAAAGAAGTTTTGAAGAAAATTTCAGCAATTTCGTGTGTCTAGGAGATGAGATACAGCTAATTTAAACAAAAAAAGAAATATTCTCCTGAGAAAATACGTTTTTACAACTAAACTATTAGAGTATCTTGGCTGAAATTACTTCCACTATTTCTTCACCCTAAAAAGAAGTCTTGAGGAAAATTTCAGCATGTTCGTATGTCTAGGAGATGAGATACAGGTTTTTAAAACAAAAAAAAAAATATTCTCCTGAGAAAATAATTTTTTACAACTAAACTATAAGAGTATCTCGGCTGAAATTACTTCCACTGTATCTTCACCCTAAAAAGAAGTTTTGAAGAAAATTTCAGCAATATCGTATGTCTAGGAAATGAGATACAGCTTTTTAAACAAAAAAATATTCTCCCGAGAAAATATTTTTTTACAACTAAACTATTAGAGTATCTTGGCTGAAATTACTTCCACTATTTCTTCACCCTAAACAAAAGTTTTGAGGAAAATTTCAGCATGTTCGTATGTCTAGGAGATGAGATACAGCTTTTTAAACAAAAAAATATTCTCCCGAGAAAATATTTTTTTACAACTAAACTATTAGAGTATCTTGGCTGAAATTACTTGCACTGTTTTTTCACCCTAAAAAGAAGTTTTGAAGAAAATTTCAGCAATTTCGTATGTCTAGGAGATGAGATACAGCTTTTTAAACAAAAAAAAAATATTCTCCTGAGAAAATATTTTTTTACAACTAAACTAAGAGTTTTGTTTAAAACGCTGTATCTCATCTCCTAGACATACGAACTTGCTGAAATTTTCCTCAAAACTTCTTTGTAGGGTGAAGAAATAGTGGAAGTAATTTCAGCCAAGATACTCTAATAGTTTAGTTGTAAAAAAATATTTTCTCGGGAGAATATTTTTTTGTTTAAAAAGCTGTATCTCATCTCCTAGACATACGATATTGCTGAAATTTTCTTCAAAACTTTTTTTTAGGGTGAAAAAACAGTGGAAGTAATTTCAGCCAAGATACTCTAAAAGTTTAGTTTCAAAAAAAAAAAATTTTCTCAGGAGAATATTTTTTTTTTGTTTAAAACGCTGTATCTCATCTCCTAGACATATGAACTTGCTGAAATTTTCCTCAAAACTTCTTTTTAGGGTGAAGAAACAGTGGAAGTACTTTCAGCCTAAGATACTCTAAAAGTTAAGTTGTAAAAAAATATTTTCTCGGGAGAATATTTTTTTGTTTAAAAAGCTGTATCTCATCTCCTAGACATACGAAATTGCTGAAATTTTCTTCAAAACTTCTTTTTAGGGTGAAGAAACAGTGGAAGTAATTTCAGCCAAGATACTCTAATAGTTTAGTAGTAAAAAAATATTTTCTTAGGAGAATATTTTTTTTGTTTAAAAAGCTGTATCTCGTCTCCTAGACATGCGAACATGCTGAAATTTTCCTCAAAACTTCTTTTTAAGGTGAACAAATACCGGAAGTAATTTCAGCCAAGATAATCTCATAGTTTAGTTGTAAAAAAAAAAATTCTGTTTTTTTTTTTGTTTAAAAAGCTGTATCTCATCTCCTAGACATACGATATTGCTGAAATTTTCCTCACTACTTCTTTTTAGGGTGAAGATATAGTGGAAGTAATTTCAGCCAAGATACTCTAACAGTTTAGTTTTAAAAAAATATTTTATCGGGAGAATATTTTTTTTTGTTTAAAAAGCTGTATCTCATCTCCTAGACATACGAACTTGCTGAGATTGTCCTCAACACTTCTTTTTAGGGTGAAGAAATAGTGGAAGTAATTTCAGCCAAGATACTCTAATAGTTTAGTTGTACAAAAATATTTTCTCGGGAGAATATTTTTTTGTTTAAAAAGCTGTATCTCATCTCCTAGACATACGATATTGCTGAAATTTTCTTCAAAACTTCTTTTTAGGGTGAAGAAACAGTGGAAGTAATTTCAGCCAAAATACTCTAAAAGTTTAGTTCGAAAAAAAATTTTTTCGCAGGAGAATATTTTTTTTTGTTTAAAATGCTGTATCTCATCTCCTAGACATACAAAATTGCTGAAATTTTCTTCAAAACTTCTTTTTAGGGTGAAAAAACAGTGCAAATAATTTCAGCCAAGATACTCTAATAGTTTAGTTGTAAAAAAATATTTTCTCGGGAGAATATTTTTTTGTTTAAAAAGCTGTATCTCATCTCCTAGACATACGATATTGCTGAAATTTTCTTCAAAACTTCTTTTTAGGGTAAAGAAACAGTCGAAGTAATTTCAGCCCAGATACTCTAAAAGTTTAGTTTTAAAAAAATATTTTCTCAGGAGAATATTTTTTTTTTGTTTATAAAGCTGTATCTCATCTCCTAGACATACGAAATTGCTGAAATTTTCCTCAAAACTTCTTTTTAGGGTGAAGAAACAGTGGAAGTAATTTCAGCCAAGATACTCTAATAGTTTAGTTGTAAAAAAATATTTTCTCGGGAGAATATTTTTTTTTGTTTAAAAAGCTGTATCTCATCTCCTAGACATACGATATTGCTGAAATTTTCCTCAAAACTTCGTTTTAGGGTGAAGAAATAGTGGAACTAATTTCAGCCAAGATACTCTAATAGTTTAGTTGTAAAAAAATATTTTCTCTCAGGAGACAGATTATTTATTTTTTAAAAAAGCTGAATCTCATCTCCTACACATACGAAATTGCTGAAATTTTCCCCAGAACTTCTTTTTAGGGTGAAGAAATAGTGGGTGTAATGTCAGCCAAGATACTCTAATAGTTTAGTTGAAATAAAAAAATATTTTGTCTCAAGAGAATGTCGGCTGCTGGTTTCAGTTTCAACAATTTATTAAAATTATATTTTTAGGAGAGTAGATAAAGGTACCTAAACTTGTCACGTTAATTTTTAATATTATTTGTAATTTCGCAACGAAAAATTCTTATTTTTAAAAAATATAGGGCGCGGACCCTATCTTCTATGTTTCGTCCATGTCGGCTGCTAGCTGGTGGCTGCTAGTTTCAGTTTGATGAATATGTATTTTTTCTTTATTCACATACCGAGATTATATTGATTTGAAATGACGCATGACGTCACATCTTGGTACAATATTTCCAATATAATAAGAAGTGACGTGACGTCACCTCTAAGCCCACTCCCAAACTGACGCTTTTTATGTCTGTTGTTTTTTGGTTGATTGACAAAAGAAGAAATATGTGTCAATTAATTTTTGATAATGTTACATATGGACTAAATAGAATTTCGTTTACTTTACCCCGTCATCACCCCTATTCAATATTCACTTAATCTCTGAATGTTATTCTATTCATGAAATTCGACCTGTTCAGTTTTATCTTACAAGGCCCTCCCTCTAGATGTTTTTTTTTGGTTTAGTCTCAAAACTAGTTGCAATTGTATAATGCAATAAATAAGGAAATAAGCATATTTTTTATATTTTAATTTAGTAGTTTACAACTATAAACAGTAGGTATAAAAAACCTACTTTAAAAATAGAAGTCTAAATAAAATTTAAATATAGCCACTGCATAGGCAGTTTCGAAAGTTTGGATGTGATGTTATGATGTATGATAAAAAGATACATTAAACCTACAAACAAGATCAAAGACCCTACAAGATACTGACATTTTGCGTTCTATACCTTCACTACGCATGAAAGTTGGAACCTACATCAATCAAAAAGACCTTATGTTTTATAGATTATTATTGGAAAAACTTTAAATGTACGCACTCGCATTACAGTCTCGTTAACATTGGCATATCCTATTAGAAATCAGAAATCAATATATCTTTATTCAAACTGGATGTATAGTACAACACTTTTGAATCGTCCAAACATTTTTTTTCCCTACCACTCGTTATGGACATATTTTTTAGCTGCGGAGAAAAACGAGCGAAAAAAACTCCACAACATTAAAAGCATAATGTAACATTTACAAATCATTATGTTGTTACAACGTCAATACAATCATGATTTATTTAATATAGAAAACCTGTTGGAATGATTGGAACAGTTCAAACCCAAGCATTTTTGTCTGTAATATAATCAGACCCTATGTAATAAGCTTTTTTAATAAGATCTTTTTTTATACTATCTTTGAATTTATTTATGCTTAACTCTTGGATATTGCTTGGGACTTTATTGTATAAGCGAACACAAAGACCTTTAAATGAATTATTGATTTTGTGAAGCCTAGTAGCAGGTAAAGTTAGTTTATTTTTGTTTCTTGTATTAAGTGTGTGAACATCACTGTTTTTAAGAAACAAATTAATATTTTTTCTTACAAGTAATAAATTTTCGTAAATGTATTGTGATGCGACCGTCATTATACCAAATTCTTTAAACCTATCTCTTAAGGAATCCTTAACTTTAAGATTATAAATTGATCGAATAGCTCTCTTCTGCAGCACAAAAATAGTTTGAATGTCGGCGGCGTTTCCCCACAATATTAACTGTCTAAATCCGCTCTTGTCGCGTTTCTAATATTTGAATTTCCCACAAGATTTATGCACCTTTTTAACATTAATTTCTTGCTCGAAAAGAAATTTTATTAACAAATATTAATGGAGGGATAAATAAAAAGTAATAAGAGTTTATATAAAAATAAATTGGCTTATTTGAATCACATGCATATTCTCTATTATATCAATCAATCAATCAATCAAAATCATTTATTCAATTTAGGCTGTTACAAGCACATATGAATGTCGAGAAGCTACGCCATCGGTTCGTAAATCTACGGCGGGAGACCTTGTACTGAGAAGAACCGGCAAGAAACTCAGCAAGGGCTGTTTTTTTCTCCCTGTTTTATCATTTACAGAGTCGTCAAGTTGAAAAATGACTTCAGAGATGATTCATGAAGTCACCCTTCATTACATAATGTGAAATTATACATTAATTGTACACCTGCATTTTGATTGCTGTGTCACACAGTATAAATACAAACAGAGTTATTTATAATAGGTGTAATTAAACATTTATATCTTAAATATCAAAGTAGTTAGGGCAGACTCATCTCCGCTGGCAGCACCCGTTCACGAGCATGACGCATGAACCAGCCATCGCTTCGCTCAACCATATTTTAGGGAACGTAACGACCCGCCTCACACGACACCACCGAAGAGACTTTTAAGAGAGCATGACTACCCATAACCACCTATATCAACCACAACATATTTACTTAAACTTAAAGTCATTTATCTGTAGGACACTGCAAACAATTACAAAGCAAAAACAATGGAGAAATCATGACCACGCCGTTTTGTCATTCAAATCTTCTTAAATAGTCTGATATTCTTCCTTACGTAATCAGCTTTAAATACAGCTTTTCAATAAAAGTATCATCAACACATGATCCATAATATATATCATATAGAAATACCCGTTGGAATGGTTGGAACAGTTCAAACCCAAGCATTTTTGTCTGTAATATAATCAGACACTTTATAATAAGCATTCTTAATAAGAGTTTTTTTAATAGTCGATTTAAATTTAGTCAGGCTCAACTCTTGAATATTGCTTGGGACTTTATTGTAAAAGCGAACACAGAGGCCTCTAAACGAGTTATTAATTTTGTGGAGCCTAGTAGCAGGTAAAGTTAACTTATTTTTACTTCTAGTATTAAGTGTATGTATTTCACTATTTTTAGTAAATAAACTAATATTTTTTTTGACATATACTAAGTTTTCATATATGTATTGTGATGCAACCGTCATTATGCCTATTTCTTTAAACTTATTTCTTAAAGAGTCCTTAACTTTAAGATTATAAATTGATCGAATAGCCCGCTTCTGCAACACAAATATTGTTTGAATATCGGCGGCATTTCCCCACAGTAAAATACCGTAAGACATTACACTATGAAAATAACTAAAATAGACTAATCTGGCAGTTTCTATATCCGTTAACTGACGTATTTTCATTACAGCATATGCTGCAGAGCTAAGTCTCTTCGACAATTTATCAATATGTGGGCCCCATTGCAACTTTGAATCTAGTGTGATTCCTAAGAACACTGTGGTATCTACAAGGCTCACATTTCGATCCTTTATATTTACATTCGTTTTTACCTGTTTAACATTAGGTAAAACAAATTTCAAACACTTAGTTTTCCCTTCATTTAGCAGTAAATTATTAACGTTAAACCAGTGGACTACCTTAGAAATTATATTATAAATCTACTGCTTAATAACGTGTATATTTATTTTCAGTGTTGCTGCAAAATCCCTCGATGAAGCATTAGGTCAAGCACTCTTAAAAGAAAGACAACAAAACATCGGCATCAAGAAGCACTCGTATGGATTTTTAAAATAAACTTGTTACAAAATTAATATTCTTTTTTTTATATTTGGTTGGACATAGTCTCAGTAAGAAAAGACCACAGTAATTTTTCGCTAAATATATATAAATAAATCTTATAGCGTGATCCATGTCATGCAAAACAGGCGCCATATAAACGTCGAGTTGCGGAAACGCCCGTAGTGAGAAGGCGCAGTATTTTTTAAATGATTAAATGTATCATACATACCTACTTGAAAATTCCTTTTAAGCTTTTAGCGAATTTACCAAATATTAAGGTATTTTTTCAAAACTGCAGCATTATATAATACATATATGACATATCGAGCCCTTACCGCCAAATTATCGTAAGCGACATTCGCCAAATTATCGTAAGCGACACTTTTGTCGAAATGCGTTTTTTGTGGAAACTAATATTTTAAACCGTAACGGACCCATCTCTGTTGATATTTCCCTCCAAAAGGACACCGTTATAATATAATAGAGGGAAGAATAGAGGGAAATATCAACAGAGATGGGTCCGTTACGGTTTAAAATATTAGTTTCCACAAAAAACGCATTTCGACAAAAGTGTCGCTTACGATAATTTGGCGTGTCGCTTACGATAATTTGGCGGTAAGGGCTCGATATATGCAGCTTAAATGATCAAAATCGTAAATTGTGCATACAATAAGGGCCAACGTATGAATGAGATTTTTCTAAAAAAAATATTGTCGTCACCGGAGGGGAGAAAGTTGGGTGCAAGCTGGAATAACCGAAAAATAAAATAAATAAGTACCGTAATTGAGAGTTACTTTAGCTCGGGCGGGTAACTTTGTCTCAAATCAGAAAAAAGTCTGAACTTGCCACCACATCTGTATCTCTTGGGTGAGCGTAATAGTTCCAGTTGAAAATCACAAATGGCCATATAGGCGCATAGTGTGGTGTTGTTTTACCGACGTCGTTCCTATATCAACCTATGTTTGTTACGCGGGATTTTTTGTAACTGAAATAGTTTGCAAGCTCATGCGCAAACTTTCTCGTAAAACTGTGCTTTTCGGTAAGTTTACTATTTTTTCTATATTTAACGTTATTGAACATGTTAATGGGAGTACGTTGATGATAAATTCAAAAGGTTTTACACAAATTTACTTGTTTAAATTTAGGGAAAGATACGGAGGTATACTTTAGCCCATGTTTTTGAGTAACTTTGTCTTTTATGCCAAAATTACCCGTCAACTTTAGATTTAGAAATAATAGAATTAAACTATACCTACTAAATCCAAACACATTTAGCGCAAATTAGTTATCTCAAGACGCCCTTATATACCTCAATCTACTACTTACATGTATTTTAAATTAGCTAACATCTTTTAATGCTGCTTTATAATTTACTCGTATGTTCTAGATTTTATAGGTTTTTGTTTTCTAAATTTCGGGCCTTTCACATTTTGTTTTTCTATTTATTATACATATAAAGCAGGCAACGAATGCTCAAAAACAGGTATAGAGGGTGTCATATATATTCTCTTTGGGCGGTGATGACGTTACTTAGTTACGCTTGTTATTGGAATATCACTTAATTATCTAATAGCAGCATTTTACCTGAAATAAAATGCATATTAAAATACTTACCTCACTGAAAGCTTTATATTGAGATAGCACTTCCGTTTCCCGTCGAATTACCATCAGTTTCCGTACTTTTATCACCTTATATCCGGTCCAGTGGCGACACCTGGCAGAAGCGCGGCCATTTTTGTTTTCCTAAGTTTTGACAGCGCCATATTAACTCATTGGCTCAATTATTTCACCAGGCAGAATTTAAAGTGAAAGCTTTCAGTGAGGTAAGTATTTTAATATGCATTTTATTTCAGGTAAAATGCTGCTATTAAACTACTTGACCGTCACTGAAAGCTTTATATTGAGACCTGTTTGTTATCGCCTGGTGATCGCCACGTACATAGATACAACGCCAATGTGACAATTTATGATATATTTAAATATTAACATTTATCAGATTATATGAAACTGTTTATAGAAAAGAAAAAGCTTAAAAATGGATCAAATAACATTATTTGAATCCCGCCTTTAATTTCTTCACGCTCACGAAGCTGCTTTAACATATGTATTAGCTGATTGCTATATTCCTTTACTTAAACTTGCTTACTTAATTATATATATATATTTGCTTTCTTAATGACCGGACGCTTCCTTGTGTAGCATTCATTTGTATCTTTGTTTATCACAAAAAGGCGTAGGAATGCGAGAAAAGAAGTAAAGTTGTTCGATACTGAGTCTTACATTTTACAAGACTGTACTTTTTTCTTAAGTACCAAAAATCAGGGTCCCATTTACAATTACCAGTATTCGGTACATGTCACCAATCGGATTGTCTCTAACTACTTTCACCTGTTTTGAACCAAAACAAGGCTAAAACTAATCTTCGTCGGTACCAATACAATGATTCGGGTTAATTTGAAGTAGGAACAAGTCATGTGTACCACATGCTGAACCAAATAATACGCAGCATAATTACTGTATGATGTTCAGAACAACTAGTATGACGAGGTATTTGAAACAGATCATTATGATGTAACGAGTACGTTATTGAAGAAAAGGAAATAAGTTAACTTATAGATTCTCCAGAATAGTGGGTTACGGACCGATTCTTTAAAAACAATCGACTTCAATATATGTGTTTGCCAAGACAGGTGAGCTTAGGTAATTAGACTTATCATCCATTGGTATATCATGTAAAAACTACTGACTTATTCAAAATAATAGTACTTATTTTGAGATAAGTCACGTGTTAAAAATAAGTCTCAAAAATCGTGTTAGCTCAGATCTGAGTCCACAACCTGCGGGATTATTCCGATAAACATTCTTGTTCCTAGACCAATGCAACCACGCAAGCCAGCGTTTTCGAGCCATCTGATACAGACATACAGAGCTGTCGCTCTTTATAGAATATGATGAAAAGCGTAGTGCTAGCATATCTATATGATTGGAGTGGAGATTGAAGTGAAGTGGTAGAGTCGTGTTCTTCAATTATACTTCCTAAGCTTTCATATTAGATTGGCGGGAAGTGATTGCAAGGTCGATTGCAGTGAATAAATAATTATTGTTAGAAGTAGGGAGTGGTTGATACAACCCCACACAATGACAAAAATGTTGAAACCGATCAACTTCTGAAGTTTACTCTTTTACAACGAAATTCTCAGGTATAGTTTTTATATTGTTGCAGGGTTGCCGTGATAAATTATGCTATTACGAAGTTTAGACCAGATTTTATGAAATTCATTTGCCATCCTGGAATCTATAATTGATTATAATTTTTCCTTTTTTTTTTTTTTCATTTCTTAGATCAAGGTCATTTATATGTATTAGTTAATACTTAATAAAGATTAAGTTATAAGGTTTACACAGCTTACTTGAGGTGTGCATGTAGTATGCGTAGGGTTTAAAGTATATTTATTCCAGACAGTCGTGGCAAGGTTAGAAAGCGTAAGTTTAATATTAAGAACAGTTTTCAGTATTTTTTACTAAAAATAACATAAAGTGGATAATTGCATACAATGATCTTCAAAAACCTTTCAAGAATTTGGTAGATCGTGCAATCTTTCTTCAGTACATAGCACCACTTATATATCAAAATGATCATGTTGACCATCTCAGACACCTCATACACGACATTTCCAATATTGCATGTTTGCTTTTGCATTTGGTTTGCTTTTGTTATTTTCAAGGGAAAATGTGTTATCATCTATCTATCTGGCAGGTAGTCCTTAAATTGCAGAAAACTTAGAATTCTTTACATTTTTATAGTGTACTGCACTTGAGATTGGAGTTTGATATATATTGGATTTAGATAAACAAGCTTTTGAATGGCATGCTATACCACCAAATTTATTTAAGAATTATTTGTGGTGCTCCCAATTTACCAATTCTCCTGCACTATATTTCAAACATTAATTGTTTCGACATTCCTTTTCCTTTTGAAATTATTACAGCACGTCCTTGATAACTATATTACGGTAAAACAACCGTAGTGATCGAGTCTACACTTCAGACCAATTAGCCTAGCCTCTTAATAGGCATTGAAAGGCTTGTGTTATGGGCTAACGCATAGAAATGCATAATGATGATGCATAGATTAGTATGATTTTGAATAAATATGTGTTAACAACCAAGACTTAGGCACCGATGCTCGTTTTTATCATACAATGATTTGCCCCACCGGACCTCGGAGTATGCGACACCTTAAAAACCAGTGTACATTGCACTTAACGGGGTACATCAACATTCGATCTTTGATCTTTCTAGTCTATTAAGAGGGTAGTTTATAACCGATACTTATGTGTGTACGCAAGCCATGAGCGGCTATGTTGCGTTGCGTTGATGTATAGATTTCCACACGATGGAAGTAATGAATTATGTCAAGCGACATTTATTATATTTTCAAATTACTTATTTTTAATGTTTCGAATTGTTTGCACTTTTACAGACCTCATGGTCACAAAAATAAATTATGAATAACGAATAGACAATATGTTAAATTATGCATAATTTGCTCCACTCGAGTGTCATATGTTACCGGTGCTTACATAATAGTACGAACTCCATAAGCGAACATGTCCTAAGGAGAATATATATTGAGCTCCACGTAATGGAAATAATATATTATGTGTGATATGACCCCACAAGGGCGATTATAAGATTGATGAGGATATTCTTCCATCAACGATTTGTTACCGATACTTGTATGTGTAGGCCAGCCATGGAAAGCATGTCCTTATTCATAAAGAGTTCCATGCGGTGGAAGCAAATTATACATAATATACCCCTGCGAGGGGCGGTCATTAGAGTTTTGGTAATATGTACCCCGCGAGGGTGGTTTGCTACCGGTACTCGTATATGTAGGCAACGCATTAGAGGCATTTCATAAGGTTCCACCTAGTGGAAACAAATTGTATATAATATGCACCCCGCGAGAGTGATTTGTTACCGGTACTCGTATATGTAGGCAAGGCATTAGAGGCATTTCATAAGATTTCACGTAGTGGAAACAAATTATATACAATATGCACCCCGCGAGGGTGATTTGCCACCGGTACTCA